ATCTACGATTCAAATAATTCGACGTCACTAATAGCGATCCGCAATGCGTCGATATTGTGAATAATTTCACTGGTGTTATAACTCCACTCGTAACTTTTACTTTCGATACTTTGACAAATTGCATAGAGCACGTAAACAATGGCATGTATACGAAAATTCTTATATATGATTCACTGTCATTCTATGGAGAAAATTTCTTTCGTTTCAATTTTACACTATCGAATTTATACCAAAACAACTTGTCCGTTACAAAAACGACGAACGACTGACTGATCAGCTGTGTCGCTGTCTCACGCAGCGCAGGCTGCCACTACTTCATCCTCTCTCCCACCACATTTATATCCTCCCATTTCAATCTTTCTTTCGATGATTAGTCGATTCTTCTCCTACTCTTTTTAAATGATATACTATTTCTTTTCTTTCTGATTCATTTTTTTTACTATTCTTTTTTTCTCCTATCGAAAACTTCTTTCTTTCTTTGTTATAGATTTTTATAGATTTATTCGAGAATCAAAAATATCAAAAAATAAGAGAATGGAAAATTTACGATATGGTGTAATAGTATCATAATCAAGAATCGCGCAGAATGTATCAAATGAAGGATTTTTTATCTTTGTGATGCAAACATCGTGTGAATTTAATGTTTGTCGCGTGTGACCGCGTTCCACTTATAGTGAAATCGAGATAGGAAAAACAAGCTTAAAGCATCGATTCGAAGTTTTCGCATCCAATATTAAATCGCTATCATGAAAAATCATTTATAATTTCACCTTTTAATTAATCGCAGAAAAATAAATTTTCAAGCCATTCATTAACAAATTTACTCACCTATTCAAAAATCATTAATTGATAATATTCTACATAAAATGATGAACTAATTCATCGATGTTTTTACAATAAATAATATACATTGTAAATTTATAATATTATATTAATAAATGTATTATTTTAATTTTTTTCTAAATTAATAATTTTTTAATTTTTTTAAATAAAATTGATTTTTTTTTAAATTATTTGTCCAATACATTATAAAATTTAAAACAATGTCGAGAATGATACATTTCTCTTGTAATGGCACAATTTGATTTCGTAGAAAAGCAAGATTCTATCGTTTCAGTCATATCGCAAATTGGTAGCATTATGTGTTTGTTAGAGAAACCATTGTGCGTACATTTGATGATGATTGTTCAAAGAATTAGAACGAAATATTTATGATAACATGAACATAATATAATCTTCTCAATGAACACTAATTATACTATTCTTTGAAAAATTAAAATATTAAAAACATTAAAATACTTTTATATTAATTTTAAAAATTCATAATTTATATAAATAATATAATAATATTCTTAATTTATTATATTTCTCTATTAGTTAATTTATTTTTCAAATAAAAATAATGTTTTTATCTGCGAAAAGAACAATATCTAAATATTGATTATAAATATTGATTATATTTATAATATATATAAATATTATTGAATCAAATATATAATTTTTTTTAAATAATTTTTCTAAATAATTTATGATAAAATTTTTTAATCAATTTAGATGCTCTATTTTTTTCAAGTACATAAAGGTACGCACTTCATTTTTATCATACTTTATATACATAGAACATATTCCTGATAGTATACGTATATTGATATTTTGATATGTCCATCATAAAACGTAGATTTATATTAAATCTATAAAATTCTGATAAGCATATCGAAACATCTCGAAAATATATATATATATTATGTTTTTTATATGTATATAATTACATTACATTATATAATTATATATTTTATAATATATGTGCATATACAATGCATTATTATAAATTACAAGTGATTTTCATTATTGACTTTATTTAATATAGTTAATATAAAATCGATCGATTAATTAATAAAATAACGGAAAAAATGATAGATATTTAATTTTCAAAATTAGAAAGCAATTTCTTAATCAAAAATGTTGGGCTCCTAAATAGTTATAAGAAACTATAGGCAATGCAATTATGAATTAACGAACTAATTGTTCTTCGCGAATTAACTTGAAATGCACAATTGGCACTAACTACATATGACTCAGTTTATATTCGTTCTTATTAAGCATCAATTGGCGTTCTGATGATAGTTATAAAAGAAATGTACAAGTTACTGATCCAACTCAACTTTTTAAATTCATTTTAATTGTTTGAATCGAAATCTTATTCTAGGAAAGTATGCTATGAATGTATGTAATTCCACTATATGGATAAAGATATAGAAATGTGAGTAAATATTTAATCGGATATCACGACTATAAGAAAATCTAAATGCTTTCATATTATATTTTTTGTTCTATATTAATATTATGTATGAATGAAATTATTTTTACAGAAATATTAAAGGATATATTCAACAGGATTGAATCATTGAAAATTTTAATTAATAAATTTATTCATTGAAAAAATATGATTCGAATAATATATTTATTTTTTTTTTACATATAATATTTCATGATTGAATTTTTAATTTTGTCTATCATATATTTATATATTTATTATTTCATATATTTAAATTAAATAAGAATGAAATTGATAAAACATATCTATCCTTATCCGCTTCTTTCTTCATCGATTACGTTATTACGTTATTGATGGCGTAATAAATTCGTATAAAAACAAGTACAAATGGAAATGTTTTTCTCAACAACTTAAATTGCTATTAAAATAGTTCATTTACAATGTGCATTTGTGTCAATAAAAATGTTTATCACAATAACATGTTGCTTTATTATTTATTGTTTTATATTTTAATAAATTTTAGTTATGATCTGAAACATTTCCCATTGATTATGTCATAATTTATAACTTTTGAAATTTAAAAATTGATTATTTTAGAGCAAAACTATAAATTTAATGCAGGGATGAAATTGATATTTTATGAAATAATTCAATGAAAACTGATATGATAACTTAACTATGATAACAAATGATAACTTGATTAAAAAGTACTGATACTTAAACTTATTAATTGAAAAAAGCTTTTAATTGTTTAATTAAATATATTTATTTTCTTTTTTTGAAAAAACGAAAGAGTATATGTAAGTACATTAAATTTTATATATAATTTAATATACACTTTTTCATTCCAGTCACAACACAATTTATGAATATTATTATATGTAAATTAATGAACAAAAAACAAAAAATAAGATATATAATTCTAATATTTTTTACTATCATCTGAATATATCAGAATCATGTTTCATTTCTATTCTTACTATTATCATTATTTTTCAATTTTTGTTTCTGTTTTATATTGTAATCTGACAAAGCAGCCTTAATTGCATCTTCTGCGAGCACTACAATATATGAAAGAAAGAAAATAAATAGTGTATTTTTAATCAATATTAAATATATTCAATATTCAATATAAATAGTTAATATTGAGCAATAAATTTTTTATCAACATAAATACTTCAATTTTATATTATACGATATAAATTATTATATATTATTATTATTATTATTATTATTATTATTATTATTATTATTATTATTATATTATATTATATTTCTTAAAAAAAATCTTTATACTTATATTAAAATTTTTCTACTCATATTTCATAGCTTATGAAAAAGATATTTAAATAATGATAAATATACTTACTTGAACAATGTAACTTGACAGGTGGTAAGCACAATTCTTTAGCAATATCACCATTCTTAAGAGCGAGTGCTTCATCAATCTATAATATAAATTATAATAATTCTTTTTTTTTGTTCTATATAAAAAATTCATCTATATAAAAAATTCATGAGCATATAATATTACTTACAGTTTTTCCTTTAACCCATTCTGTAGCTAAGGAACTTGAAGCAATAGCAGAACCACAACCAAAAGTTTTAAACTTAGCATCAATAATCTTTCCTTTCTCATTAATCTTAACTTGAAGTTTCATTACATCTCCACAGGCTGGGGCACCTACGATACCTGTACCAACCTGAGAATCATTTTTATCTAAAGAACCTACATTTCTTGGATTTTCATAGTGATCTATCACCTAGAAAATAATGAAATATAATATAAAAAAAAATAACTTTCATGTTTTATTTCAAAACGATTTGTAAATATTTTCAATTAATAGTGAAATAATAACAACCTTGTTATATCATCAATAATAACCTAAAATTTTTTATAGAACTAATATGAAATATTGGCTATTATATTTGGAAAAATTTATTTTTTAAATAAAACCAATCAAGATTATAAATTAAGATCAAACTTTATGTATATATATATATATATATATATATATATATTTATAATAGATTCAATATTGATTGCTTAAAATAAATGTAATATATTTATCAAAATTATCAATATTTTAATATGAAATAGTAAATACTTACATTTGGATGATAAAATACAGCTGGGACACTTCGAGATATTAATTTCGAAGTTTTGTTAAGTCCTGAAGACAATGATTGCAATAAAGACATTGTGTTTATTTTTGATTTAACATTGAGTAACTTGAAGCAATCTCTTCGTTATGCATAACACTTCACTAAGCAATCGATATTGCCTTGAAGTATATGATTTAAATGTTGGTAATGTTCAAAAATGGTAGTCTTGCTTCAATCTGGGAATAAATAATAATATGAGAGGATTTGTTATTACATTTTTATAAAATTAAACAGATTATTCTCTTTAATTAATTTTGTTAATAATAATAATAAAGTTTATATTATACAATAAGCATTTGTAATTAGATAATTTTAATATCATTGCAATTTGTTTATATATGAAATCAATATTATATTCTGTATTAAATGAAATTTTAGAAGTGACATTTTAGAATGAATTATCCATAAACTATATATATATATATATATATTACATTATTTTCTTATTTTATAAAAAAAGTTAAAGAATATTATAATACAAAAAAGCTATTCCATAAAATATAACTATGATTTCGTAATATGTTGATAATGTTTTTAAATGAATCTATGAAAGATTTGAATTGCTAATGTGTCCAGATAGTAATTTTAATATCTGTACTGGTTGGACTCAAGAATGGATATCTTCAAAAAAATTTCAAAAAGATAAATATCTTGATATACAAGAAATAGTACGTGGACCATTTTCTTCACCAAGATTATTAAAAACTCGTCCATTTATAGTGTTTTCGTCTTGTCCACAACAAAATGAAAAAAATTATTGCAATATACGTCGAGGTATACCTGATACTTGGAAAGAATATCTAGCGTGTAAAGGTTTTTGTAATACAATAGAAAAATATATATTGCAAAAAAATTTAATATCTTCTTGTGTTAGATATTTTGCCACTGATAAAATATGGACTGATACAGGTTTACATTTTACACAAGGAATTCCTGATCCATGGAAATGTAAGTCTGTGACAACAAGCCAATGCATTAAATATCCACGAGCGCAATGTTCTCGCGCCAAAAATATTTGTTCTACTCGAATGGCAAATATATATGACGGAGACGATGAAGCAGAAATAGAACTCAGTGAACAGTTTAATAAAGATCATATTGACAATAAAAAAGATTCTCTTCAAGAAGAACGAAATAAATCAAATCATTTGCCAACTTCAAACAAAGAATTTAAAATATTAAAAAATAATACGGAACAAATTAAAAAAGAAAAAAAAAATACTAATCAATTAGTTTTAGATAAGAATTCAAAATTAGTATCTAATCAGAAAAAGCATAGAGAAAAAATAAAAATGGAAAATACTGAATTTAATAAAACTGAATTAAATAAAACTATTCTTAAACCTCAAGAAATCATATCTAACAAAAATAAAAAAAAAAATATTAAAATAAATGTTGATGAAAAACAATTTTCGTCAAAAATACATTCAAATGATTTAAAAATTAAAACAAATAATAAAAAAGAAGTTCAAACTATTCCAACAAGAGTTGCAAATGAAGCTGTGCAAACTAATACAATTCAAAAAGAAAAAACTGAGCAAGTACAAGATTCGTTTTTTGTAAATCAAGGAAACGTTAATACTGTCTGTTGCAATTGTATATTACAAAATTATATACTTTCATGTATAAAACATTTTTCTAATTTTGCAAACTTATTAAAAGACGTAAATCTATCAAATCACATATTATGTCAAAATTGCGAAAATATTTATTGCAGAAATAATTCCCAAAGATTAATTTCCGCTGTGAAAGAGCTAGAATTTTGTACTCCAGATCCAGAAAAATTTTCAAAACAGAACAAAATTTACAATTGGACAAAATTAAAACTGTGTGCTTGCATGCAAAAAGCTAAAAAACAATTCGAGAAACGAAACAGATTAGAAAAATGTATGAAAACAAACAATTCGATTATTTCTAAACAAAATCTAAAACTAATATGTCATCATTGCGATAGTCCTTACTTAAAAATTATAAAAATTAATAATGCAAATACTTATGATCGAAAAACATATTCATGTATTTGTAAAAAAACCTTGAATACATCAAAGAACGAACAAAATAAAACTAAAGATTGTACTTCACAACATTCAATTGCAAAAAGACGAAGAAATCGAGATTCCAAGAACTGTTATACGTGCAATGAAAACATAAAGCATGTTTCTAAGAATGACCTCGAATGGACGTCACATTTAATGGTTACTGAATGTGAAAAAGATAGAACAAAAAAATGTGATCATAGATTCCCGAAAAAAAATAATTACGATGATAATATTTTAAAATTAGAAATTCCAGAAATTAGAATTAATAATGAAGAAGACATTCGAAATTGTTCTCAAATATATGATAATAATATGATATATGAAAATATAATCAAAATGCAAAAAATGCAAAAAAATCTTCAATGTAATCAATTGTTTATTGATAATGAAAAAAATGAAAAAAAATATAAAAAAAAAATATTGAAAGATAAATGTTTTAATGTTATAAATACTGCGACTAATACTAATGAAGAAATTAAAGTTCAATTTTCAAAACAAATTCAATGCTCAAAATTAGACAAAACTTTATATTCTGTAACAGATAGTGGAGAATATGCAGACATATCTGATAACATATCTGGATTTTAATGTAAAAATCAAATGTCAGTGACTTCAATAAACACAATGATTATTACAATTCCAATATTGAGACAACTAAGAGAAAAAAATTTTAAATTATAATAAATTATAAATCATCGGAAAAAATCATATCATATATATAGATTTTGAATTTTAAAAATCAAAAACAGAATCAGACATAATATCGAAATAATCAATTGTGTAACAATATTTCTTCTTTCATATTCAATAAAAAGATAAATATGATGATTATGAATAATTAATTAGCACAAAAAAAATCAAATGATAAGTATTGAAATATATAATAGATAAAGTATATAATATAAAAAAATATAACAAAAAATATGTGATACTGTTTTCACAAAATAATATAATTATGTTAGTAACATATAATTGTGAAATGACTATAAATATAAAGGAAAAACTAAATTGATATATATTCTCTTAATTAATATATAAATAATTTCTAAAACAATTTTTTTGCTAACATCAATAATAAAATATTCATAAATTTTTATTAAATCTGAAAGAAATAAAACTTGTTTATATTATTTTTCATTTATATTAAAAATTATTAAATGAATATATTTATTAAAATTTACAAAATTAATTACGAATTGCAATTTAATTAATATTAAATTATGCATTAATATAATAGATGATTTAAATAAAATTTCAAAAGAATTATTTATGCATAAAATAAATATATGAAATTACCAATTATTTAATCAAACAAGATTAGAATATCATTTGACATTATAGGATAAAATAAAAAAATACTTAAAAGATACTTAATAGAATAAATATAAAAGATAAGAAAATTAATTTAGGAAATTATTGTTTATTTTTGATTTTTCATTTTATAAAAAATAATTTTTCAAACAATATATATTATATTAAATAAAAAGATTATTCCTAATTTAATTGAAAATTTATAGAGATAATGAAATTAAGTCGAAAAGAATTCTTTTGATAAAAATAATATATCTTATAAAAAAAACAATTAATTTAATTTTATTATTTTTGATTTTCATAAATACAATATAAAATAAAATTCAAATTAACTGAGAATATTCTTTCATTATTCAATTCAATGAATATAATATTTAAAAAAATATGTATTTATTGTAATGTAATAGAAATAGATTTTTAAAAATTGGCATATTTTTTTGATATTAAAATTTAAAATATTTGAAATATTTAAAAAAACATGTAATATATTTAAGATATAATAACTCTTAAAATAACATCAAGAAATTTTAACCTAATTTTAGCTATAAGATATATAATGTTAATTATTAATTATCTTCACCAGTAATAATGTTTTAAATTAGACAATCAACTTACTTGAAAAATCAAAAAATTAGAATTGAAATTCTTTTAAGAATGATAAGATATATTTAAGATATTTATTAGAAAGATTACAATCTAAGACAATTTAAACTAAATTTTTTCTTAATATATACATAGATATAAAAATATATTGATTTACTTGCAATGCTAAAAAATAAACTTTCATCTGATGTTAAATGTTAATGAATTAAATTATTTGTTGATTGTAATTATTAAATATATATTTATTATAATTTTCAATGTTTATCATTTCATTTATTAGAAAATACAATAACATTTATATTTGAAAAATGAAGAAAAACTATAATTAAATAGAAGACTATAGTTTATAAAATCATAAATTATCATTTATTATTAATATTACAAACCTTATATGTAATACTTAATTAAAATAAAAACACAAAACATTTTCACAAAACTGAATTACACGATTGGTCCATTCTTTTAATTAACTTTTACTGCCATCTATCAATGAGATTACGAAATATTTTATATTGTATTTCTTTTATATATCACGGCTGTCATTACTTATTAGCGTAATGCTAAGAGCAACAAAAATATATTTAATGTTCTAGTGAATGCTCTTAAAATGCATCCTTATCGATATAAAAGTTATTTTTGTGCTGTGATGTCATTATTTGACAATATACTTTAACGTTATAAATTCCTAGTCATATTTAAATTGTAAATAACCTAATCTTAATTAAATATTTTTTCGTAATATGGCAAAGACTAAAACAATTAGTAAAGGTTGCCCTAAATGTGAACAACAGGTAATTATATTATGATTATTTATATTTATATGATATATTTTATATTAATTTTATTTTTAATATTTTATAGCTGTATTTAATTATATTAATTGCATTAAATTTTTTTGAATGAGTTTGGAAAAATTCAACAAAGAGAGAATAAAGTAATATTTTGTAAATCATAAATTTTACTGTAATATATATATTATCTTTAAAATTAAATATAATTGATTAATTTATGATTTCTTTAAATGTAAGCTTTGAATAATTATATTAATTTTTAATAATAAATATATACAAGAAACTAGTAGATCTCTATTTAGAATATACATAAATTATATATATTAATTATAATTATATATATTAATAATTAATAAATTATATTATACAATTCATAATATATTTTTATATTTTATTATAGTTATTATTTTATATTTTTTTTATATTAATTACATTTATTTATCAAGGTCCCTGTAGCTTGCAAAGCATGTCCATGTGGACATTCATTTTTCAATGCAAGACGAAATTCAATAAAAAGTCCTCCTAGTCCTGATAATGGAGTAATGAAAACAAGACGAACCAATCGAATCAAACGTGAAAAACCAAATTATTATGATGCCTTAGAATATGATAAACAGTCAAAAAAAAGTGCTAAAGTAAGATATTATTTATTTAATTATATAACTATATATTAAAATGATTATACAAAACTTTAATTATCATAGATTAGAAAAGCAACAGATGCTGCTAGTGATATAGATTGCAGACAATTAAATAAAAAAAAGAAACGAAAGGGAAAAGGTAAAGGAAAGAGTGGAAGTAATAATGGGATAGGAGATGATGATGATGAAATGGAAGGAATTAATAGTTTATCACCAGAAAAACAGCTTACATGTTCTTTAATATTACAAGAATTAAATAACAAAATGAGAGTTGTGGCTTGGAAACCAACATAATTTTTCTTCATTGTGACATATTTCTTAATCTAAGAAATACTAGTATCCAGTTTTAGTAAAACATAATCATTTTATATAGATATTGAATTGTATTTGAAATACTATCTATTATGCAATCTAAAAGATTAAGATAGTATTATATAATGTTATGCAAATTGATAGCATTAATTTATATAAATTATATATAATTTTTATTAACAGAAATATATATATATGTATATAAGATATACGTAATGTATATAATATATATATATAATATATATTATAGATAGATTTATTAATAAAATTATATATAATTTGTGATAAAAGATATATATTTTTTTTTATAGCCATTTTGAGATTTTTAAAGTTTTTTGAGTATTGATTTGAATGTTGAATTATCTTCCAAAGTAGAAAAAATAATATTATATTAATGAAAAGAATACAATTTTTATTAAAGATCACTGTGTTTAATTACATCTGTTTGTATGAAAAATATGTATTTCCTACTAAGATTATTTCTTTCATCGCAGGATCTGCCGCAATTCTTCATTCTCTACAAATAATCATAATGTAACATGTAAATATAATGTACATAGTGTTAATGTGATATATAAGACAAATTACAAATATAAATCAATTTTTTTTAAAATAATTCTTTATATTGTGTATATATGTATATGTATAAGAATGTTTGTTCTTCGTTTTTACTTTGAATATAAATGAAAATGTCATTTACCAATAAAATAAGAGAGATATGCATTTATAAAAACTTACAAAAATTACCCTTACCTGCAGCAAACGAGGTATTTTATGTAAACGTTTCGAATACACTGAACCAATTAATACATCATAGTGGAATAATTGTAGCGACAAATGTGGTGATTTATTAGATTTCTATTACACATTCAATCACATTCGCAAAATATCTTTATTTTTTTGCAATCGCTTCTCCTTGACAGTTATTGTTCTTGACATTATTAACAGTCATCTTCGATGAATTCGATACTTCGTTAAAAATCAGAAGTAGAGGTAGACCTCCCATAACCATGCATGTGCCCATGCATAGAAAACATACGGAGTAACTTCCGGTTACATCGCGTAGGTATCCTGAAATTGAATATTTGAATATTAATATTATTATCGCTGTTTACATTTTAAATAATTAAAACAATATTTTGTAAATTAATATCGAATAAGTATTTTTATCTTTATTATATTTAATTGTAATCAATATTTACTATATTTTAAATTTATTATAATAAAATAATGTCGTACCTGCTAAAGGCGGAATAGAAATTGCTCCGACGCTCTGGAACATCCTAACAAGACCGTAAGTAGAAGATATTTTATCAGTTCCGTATTGGTCTGCAAGAAGGACGGGAACCAAAAGAAACCAACAGCCCAAGCATAATCCATACATGCCTACGGAACATGCCAACACATAGAAAGAATGGGCCATTGGAATTGCCAATACTGCTACACCAGCACCCACAACACTATTAAAAATAAATATAGAATATTTTTATTATATTAATAAAAAAGAAAAATACATTTTTATAATACCTTCCGATATATCCTTTCCGTCGATCAAAAAGCTTTAAATCTGAAAGCCATCCAAGTCCTAATCTTCCGCATAAATCAAGCGCGGCGGAAATAGCTACCAAGTATCCAGCTTCTGACTTTGTATAACCAGCAGCATGCACATATGCCGGAAGATAATAGAGCATATATGGACTCCCAGTTGACATCAGACTAACGGAAAAGCACATCATGATGAATTGAGGATTTTTTAATAGAGATAAATCGATATATTGTGTTATTCTCTGCATTAATGTTTTCTTTTCCTCCGGCAGTTGTGCTTCGTTTTGAGGAATTGAAGTTCGTTCTGGACATACTACCGTAATCGACGACTTTAGTGATCTTAACGATGATCTGGCTTTGTATACACACGTGGAATCGGTCGACAAATCTTCGACACTATGCAATATACTTGAACTACGTATTTTCGAGATTGGTTTCATCTGGAGACCTTCACCCATCACATCCTTCTCTTCATCGCTGTCTGTCAGTTCGACCGTCACCACACTGTTCTGATGAAATAATTCGTTCAACAGATTATGTTTTGCAGTTGAGTCGTTAGCGAATATTAAATCTAACTTTTGTTGTTTTGCTGACTCTAATTCCTTTGTATATTCAACCTTTTCCTCTTTTTCTGGTATCTTCAAATCTTCCGGCGCGTAGTTGTTCTCTAAAGGCCGATATAGAGTTGCACTTACACACACGTGCAACATGCAACCGCCAAGTAGGAGAATGGTACCGTGAAAACCAAAATTATCCACTAGAATCTTAATTAGAAGTGGAAATACAAAACTACCAGCTGCTGTACCAGATACACATATACCATTTGCTAGGGCACGATGCTTGTCGAAATATTGAGAAACGAGGATAATACCTGGTGTTGTCGAAAGACCACCACCAATTCCTAAAATTGTTATATTCATAATAAATATTATTCCAAAAATATTTATTTTCAAATGTTCGCAGTTTAAATATTATTAAAATATTAATATTATTATAAATATACATATATATATCTTTTTCTTATTCTATTGAATCTGCAGTTTGTTACGTAATCGAATGACGTAAGTTAATAGGTGTACGTATAACTAGAGAGACATAGCGATATAATAGTTAAAATAAAAATGTTTCAATAATGATTTAAATGATTTTAAGGAAAATAAAGGAATATCATCAATTATTACTTATGATATTTTATAACATTGCTATATCTTCTTAATTGATTATAGATGGAAATATATGATTAAAGAATTTAATAAAATTAATTGTTAATCTTACAAACCTGTCAAAACACCGAATGTAAAAAAGAGATGTATCAAGCTCGTGGCAAAATAACTTATTGTTAATCCTAAAGCGCAAAATAATCCACCGACGAAAACGACAGCCCGACAACTGTATTTCTGACACAACATACTCGTCACTGGAGCTGTATTTGAAGTATTCATATGTTAATTTTCAAAATATGAATGTATATCATGCTTTGTTACATATTTCAAAAATTATCTATCCTTTTAAAAAATCTTCGTTTAATAAATTTTTTATTAATCTAAATATATTTATCAATATATTACAAATATATTTCCAAAAGTTTGTAAAGATTTATTTTTATTATTTTCATATCATTGTTTATAAAAGTACAATATTCTTTTGAAATAATCATTTTATTGAAAATTATCTAATAGTAATAAATTGTGAGAAATATTAGAAAAGAATCTTAAGAATCAACTTATATCTGAGTTGAAATTTTTAAAAAATTACTTACCAAGTGCGAGACAAAGACAAGATAAAATAGCTGGTATCCAAGAAGCGACAGATGCTGAGGAATCCTTAAATGTTTCCATCACCTCAACATATAGCACTCCATAAGATTTCATAAGTCCAGTCACCCAAAACTGAACAAAAAACGCCCCGAATACGATAATCCAACCGTAACCACCATCTAATGGAACGTATGTGATATTTCTTGATTTTTTTTTCGTTTCGCTTTTTTTAGGTTTCTTCTTTTTCGTATTAGAGTTTTTAGTTGATCGAAGTTCTCGAGATTTGGCAATCAACGGCCTAGCCGTGAGACTCGATATAGTCAAGAGATTGTCGTTATCTTCGTCCTCTATCGTCTCTGGACTTTGAAGATGCGGTGGTACAACTGGCGTCGAGGTTGCTGTCGCCTGGACGGCTAAAGAGGCTGGTCTCTTAGGCGATGGCACACCTGTACTTAAATCGAAGACGGGTGCTGAATGTATAGACAAAAGGGAACCCAGTTGATTTTGTTGATTCATATTTTCGTCGATGACAGTCGTGCCGACCATCTCCTGCGACGCTGTCGTCGGTACGACAGCGTCACGTTCGACCGAATCCTGCAGGCACCATTCTCGTGGTAACGACATATTTCTGTAACTTCGTTTACGCGAGGGGGACCGTAATACATTGGAGTTATGTTACTTTTCTTCCCCTTCGTTTGCTTTAGCTGGCAAACTGTCTTCTTTTACTTATTATACTATCTTCTTCTATGTTTCTTCTTTTTTTGAAAAACGGAACTTTTGTTTCACTATTGTTCTATATTTCTATTTATGTATTCTTCACTACGTTTTCTATATTTTTCTCTATCCGTCTTATTAAATGTCAATCAAGATGCTCTATTTTTGCGTCCTTTCTCTTTGTTCAAATCTTTAAGTTTCTTGGTTGTAGTTATACACACTTTATCAGAATCGGTCCACCCGACTTAATTTTCTTGTTATCTATGCTTCCTCGATTTCCTTCCCACCATTTGCACGTTCTCCAAAGTTCTCCTGACTCGGTCTAAGGGTGCTTGGTAAATAACCGAAATGAAAAGGGTGCGCACGCAGAGGAGGTCGCCACCGAATGGAAACTTACGGGATCGATATGTGGCCACAACTGACGCACTGGCATTTCACGGTGTAATCACCACCACGTGGCTTGGAAACAATGCAGAGCCTATCGGTTTATTGTCCTGCTAGTCGACCTACTTTTCCTTTTCTTGGTTTCTAACTTGTAATTCCATTCAGCAGGCTTCCACCCTATAATTTTTACAGAATGACCTTCGATTCATCCAAATCGCGTGTTTTTTATTCTTTTGCAGCTTCAATTATTCGAACATCTTATGAAAAAGAGGTTGTCGATCGATACTAATTGTTAAAAAAATATTGATTCGAAGGAGATGTTGCCAGTTGTTATGATAGTTAAGATGATCTTCTAAATTTTGCTAACTATTTCTCCTTTTCCTTTATATCGAAGACTGAAAGAAAAAAGACTATGTTAGAACTGAATTGTTGTTCAATACAATCACATATTATTTTTTTAAATTGTTTTACATCTAATATTATCAAGAAAAAAAATTTGCATTATTTCTTATTCATTCTTTACTTTTTTAATTTAATAAAATTTTATATATATATAGATGAATAAATTATTACAATAAGAAATCAATATAAATCATAATGTAAGAAAATAAAAAAATTAAATTAAATTAAACAATTTTTATTAAATTAAAAAAATGAAATTTCAGAATATTTAAGAAGATCTACAAATATATGCAGCGAATGCTGCACTTTTATATTTATTATTAATCAAGTTCATAATAATGAATAAATTTGGAAAATTAAATGTAAATTTGAATCAAATTGATTGATTTTAAAAATAAAAAATAAATAATAAAATTAAAATAACAAAGAAAATCTATATTTAGAAAAAGATTGGAAAGAAATGGAAAGATCGATTGAAAAATGAATTAGAAAAACATCCTAATATTATAATAGTGGGGACGAAGTCTGTGCGCAGCATCCGAACGGATCAATGAATCTCCGACTTCTGTCTCTCAGATCTACTTTTGCGCTCATCGTTAACACTGGATTTGTTCATCGTGTATTTAGATAAGGGCGTGAACAATTAACAAATGAATCATCAACCAATCTATATATCCCCAAATATTACGTGAACAATCAAGAACTCTGCACTGATCTGGTACGTTCAGATTTGATCTTTAACAAAATGTTTTTGAAGATAATTATTTCAAAAGAATATGTATTTAAAATTTATATTCATAAAAATAATTTTTTTCTATTATCAAATTTATTATAATATAATTAATTTATTGTAATATAATTAATTATTATATATAATAATTATATAATTAATTGTATTAACGTATATTTATAACATATATTTATAATTATATGTAATTATTAAAATGTAATATAATTTTCATGAATCATTACATACATATATAATTTTATATAGTTTTTTTTGTTTAATACTTTAATTAATAGATAAAATTCATTTCTATATTTTATTGTAGGTCAATTTTTATAATAATGAAATACGAAAGTATCGCATTATTTATTTCTTTGATTATTTTAAACAATGAAATATATAATATCATTGCGAATCAACAATTAAACAATCCCACTTTGTTTATGATTGGCGGTGTTTTCTCCAATAATAAGAGTAAAAAATGTTTCGAACAATCATTAAACGTAAGTAATATGAAAAGAAAAATCTTAAAATTTTCTTAAATTAAATCCAATAATTTAAAATATTTATTGATTGTTTCATTTCGATATTTTATTAAAATTATTTAAATCAATTTGATTAAATTTTCATAATTTTTTAATATAACTTCTTCTTTATAATCCAAAATAGTTAAGTTTAAATTCAATATGAGATTTAATTATTTTATCTAATGAAACACCAAATATAGTTACAAATCTATATAGAAAATCTATATCTATATGGAAATGGAAATTTCTAAGTATTTAATCATTATTAATTCCGCGTTTTTCCTGGTTTTCCAGGAATTAAATTTCAACTTAAACTACGTTAATAAAGGAGTGACTTATAAGCATACAATAATTGAAATGGATTCCAATCCAATTAAAACAGCTTTAAGCGTATGCAAGTCTTTGATAGAAAGACAAGTGTATGCGGTAGTGGTATCTCATCCCCTTACAGGAGATCTGTCACCAGCCGCTGTTTCTTACACAAGTGGATTTTATCACATACCCGTTATAGGTATATCTTCGAGGGACTCAGCATTCTCTGACAAAGTGAGTCAATTAGCAGATTTAATAAAGATTTCTATTCTATGAAAATCAAAAATATTTGTTAAGGAAAGTGAAAATATAAGAAAATATCATATATTGAAATTATTAAAAATTAAATAATGACATAAATAAAATTTCTTTAGAAAAAAAATATAATTAAAATTTCTATATTATATTAAAACATGTTTAATATGTAATTCGAGCATTTATGATATGTAATGTTGATTTTAATATAATTAAACATTATAAAATTTTGAAAGAAACCAAATATATATAAAGTAATATAAAAATAGATTTCGTAAAAAATTATTTTTTAACATAACATGTTTTTATCTTTTAAATTTCGATTCACCAGAATGTTCTATACAAATAAGATTACTTATAATAGTATTACTTTAGTATTATATTATCGGTATTATTGTATGTTACGTTAAATATCTATATATCATGTATGAACTATATTCAAAACTACAATGATTCTGGATAATATTCCAAATCAATAAAATCGAAAATAAATTTAATACTTATTCTTTTAGAATATTCATGTTTCATTCTTAAGGACAGTACCACCATACTCACATCAAACAGATGTTTGGGTTGAACTATTAAAACATTTCAATTATATGAAAGTGATCTTCATTCATAGTTCGGACACAGATGGCCGTGCATTACTTGGAAGATTTCAGACAACTTCTCAAAATTTGGAGGATGATATTGAAATCAAGGTTCAAGTACGTATAAAATTATCAAATTATATCCATCTAAAATAGAAATAGTTTTTAATAAAAATTTGATTTTTATGAATTATTAAATTATTTAAAAGGTAGAGTCTGTGATTGAATTCGAACCTGGTTTAGATAGCTTCACACAACAGTTAATAGAAATGAAAAACGCGCAAGCAAGAGTTTATCTTTTATATGCTTCGTAAGTATTAATTATTTCAATTTACATAATATTAATCTAGAAAGAAAGAAAAACAAAATTTATAAATTATTTAAAATAATTATAATAAATATTAATATAATTAATATTATATTGTCATATGACACAAAATAATCTTATATACCTTTATCAACAAATATATTGTTCTTTAATCTTTTCTAAATTCCTAAATTTTATTTATTAATTATTAAAAAAAAATTCGTTTATTTTTTAATAGAAAAATGGATGCAAGTGTTATCTTTCAAGACGCTGCGATGATGAACATGACCGGTGCAGGATATGTTTGGATTGTGACAGAGCAAGCCTTAGATGCGTCGAATGCACCGGAAGGTCTTCTTGGCTTGAAATTAATTAATGCGGAGAATGAGACGGCTCACATCAAAGATAGCCTGTCAGTTCTTTTCTAATCATATATAGACATCCACGCATGTATATTACTGTCCATAGTTTCGTGTATTACTACTGAAAAGACCTTTTCCCAAAAAAACAGAAGAATACACGCATGGAAAGGCTTAAAATAAATTAATAGATATCTCATAATAAATTTATAAAAAACAAATAAGGAAAATGTTTTCCTTCTTTAAATTTCGTTTGATATAGATTTGTACAATTGCATGCAATGCACAAGAAACATGCATCTTGATTTCACAGCAATGTACAATTGATTTCAGATCACTGGATTACATATTCTCTTAGCACATCTTTCCAATGGATATTTCGTTCAGCAAAATGCTGAATATGCTTTGAACATATGTGTGCACAAGTAACGTTGCTCTATCCCTCTGTGTGAAACAATTTAACAATTTCAAATATATATAATTAGTAGTTAACAAACATTCGATTGGGTAATATAAAAATAGTCTCGAATGTTCATGAAAATTATTTAATTTGAAAAATTAATTATATTATTATATAATTTGAAAATTATTCAAATAAAGGAAATTTAATATTTTAAATTTTATTATTTTGAATTGGGCAAATTTTATGAATTTGATTTTTATAATTTAACACATTATATATTTTCAGGATAGTGCTTACATCTGCTTTACAAGAGATGAACAAGTCAAAATCAATCACAGAACCGCCGAAGAATTGTGGAGATTCCGGCTCGATATGGGAAACTGGCAAAAACCTGTTTGAGTATGGTTTATTTCTACTATTTTCTTTTTCAATTTTTTAATATAAATTAACTAATATTATATGATACAATTTCAATCTATTTTAGATTCATCCGCAAACAGGAATTATCAGGTCACACTGGCAAAATAGCGTTTGATGATAATGGAGATCGTATTTTTGCGGAATACGACATAATTAATATTCAGGAGAATGGTGATCAAGTCTCCGTTGGACGATATTTTTATCCAGTGAGATTAAAAAAAAATAAATATAATAAAATAATAAAAGCATAACTTTTTTTTATACTTATAATTGTTTCTTTTATGATTATTTTCTTTAGATATTAATTTATATTATTAATTATTTAAAAAATGAATAATATTTTCCTTTAAGAATTATTTGTCACAATTTTTAATATAATAAATAATGATACCTTATGATAAATTTATACATACATAATCTAATTTATAATTCAATATCTAATTTAATATTTTAAAATATTAAAATCTAAATATTTTGTGAATATATCTTTTTACTTCTTTAGTATTGATATTCAGTATCATATCGTAGAATGGTACTGAAAAAATGACATTAAGTGTCAACGAATCGAATATAACATGGCCTGGCCGATTGCAAACTAAACCTGAAGGTTTCATGATTCCTACGCATCTCAAAGTGCTTACTATTGAAGAAAAACCATTTGTTTATGTTCGTGAAATCGCATTCAGTGAATCATGTCTTCCAGAAGAGATTCTATGTCCTCATTTTAATGTCACCGATGGTGAAAGTAAGAATACTAAATATCACAATACATATTATATCTTTTTCATTATTGACATTAATTGAAATATTTTCAGCTACAAAAACATTTTGCTGCAAAGGATACTGCATGGATTTATTGAAAGAATTATCAAAGACTATTAATTTTACCTATAGTTTGGCTTTATCTCCCGATGGACAATTTGGCAACTACATAATCAAAAACAATTCAGGTGCAAATAAAATTATAATAAAATAAGTATAGAAAGAAATAAAATATAAAACATATAAGATTTCACTTTTTTTAAAAGTAAACTTTGATATGAAAAGATGATTTATATTTAATTTATGAATACCTTTTTTTAGTAGGAGGAAAAAAGGAATGGACTGGACTCATCGGAGAACTGGTGAACGAAAGAGCAGATATGATTGTTGCTCCTTTAACAATTAATCCAGAACGTGCTGAGTTCATCGAATTTAGTAAACCATTTAAATATCAAGGCATCACCATTCTTGAAAAGAAGGTATATTTTTTAATAACTAATTTCAAATTAATTATGATTAAAATTAATTTTAAATTAAAGAATAATTTAATAAATAAATCTAAATTAAACAATTTAAAAAATAATTAAAAAATTTATTATTTACTTATTATTTAACATTATATTTCATAATAATAATTATTTGAATAAATAATTAATATTATATTGATTAATAAAAAGATTATAAAATATATTACTAATATTAAAAAATATTTATCTTTAGCCATCAAGATCATCAACTTTAGTGTCGTTTTTACAACCATTTAGCAATACTCTGTGGATACTGGTAATGGTATCGGTGCACGTAGTGGCTCTAGTTTTGTACCTCCTCGACCGGTTTTCGCCTTTCGGGAGGTTCAAGCTAGCAAACACTGACGGTACCGAAGAGGATGCTCTGAATCTATCTAGCGCTGTTTGGTTCGCTTGGGGAGTTCTTCTTAATAGTGGAATTGGAGAAGGTTCGTCATTTTCTCTATAATAAAATCTATTCAGACAAAAAAAAAGAATTTATGTAATATATTCATGAAAATGATGAAAAAAATTTTTTAAAATAAAAACTTATTTATTATATTAGCCTTTTTTAATACTTATATAATTATAATTTATAATACTGATTTCTATAATATTAAATATTATAGAATATATTTATAACTATGTAATATTTTTATTAAAGCTAATTAAAGTATTATTAAAATATTGATTGTAAGCAAAAATTGAGTTGCGTAAAAATAATTTCTATAAATGAGCATGATTTTTAAAATTTTATTTAACTTTATTTATTTAATAGGTACTCCACGGAGTTTTTCTGCTCGAGTGTTGGGCATGGTATGGGCAGGTTTTGCGATGATTATCGTTGCTTCTTACACTGCCAATTTAGCTGCATTTCTTGTGTTGGAACGGCCAAAAACGAAATTAACTGGTATCAACGATGCTCGAGTAAGAATGAAATTAATAAAAGCAAAATCGATATTAATTTTTTTAAATGCTAATGCAATTGACATATCCAAATTGTTCCATGACAATATTCAATATTCAACTGTAGTGCTTTAGACATAAATCTTGACATAAATCTTTGATATTTGGAAGAAAAATATTAAAAATAATAAAAAGAAATCTACAATTTATTTTAATAACGGTGTTCATAATAAATATAATAATATTATATTGAATATATTGCATATATTTTGTGTGTATTTTTTCATTATATTTATAATATTTTTTTTATTAATATTTATAATTTTAAATTCTTTACCGAGTTATTTTTATAATATTTTATATATATATATGTACATTTATCGATTATTGCTATTATTGCTATTATTACTTTTGCTACCGTGTTAATATTGATTTTAGTCAAAGTAACAAAGATATTACATTACCTGCAAAATATCACATACATATATTTATAGCATATATTTATAGCTTAGAAATACTATGGAGAATCTTACATGTGCCACGGTAAAAGGTTCTGCTGTAGACATGTATTTCCGTCGCCAAGTCGAATTATCCAATATGTATCGTACAATGGAAGCAAACAATTACGATACTGCCGAAGAAGCTATTAGAGATATAAAAATTGGGTAAAAAAAAAAAAAAAAAAATTCTGGTTACTATAAAATATCATTAGCAATTCTAAGAGAATATAATTCTTAAGAATTATATTATGTTAGGAAACTTATGGCTTTTATCTGGGATAGTTCTCGATTAGAATTCGAAGCTGCTCAAGATTGTGAATTAGTAACTGCTGGAGAATTATTTGGTCGTTCTGGCTACGGGATTGGTTTGCAAAAAGGTTCTTTATGGGCAGATGCAGTAACTCTTGCTATTTTAGACTTCCATGAAAGTAAGAATTAATATAAATTATTACTTAAAATAATTAAAAATTTATGATACAAAAATTATCATATATTAAAGTTAATAAAAAGAAATATTAATTAATAATTGTTATTTCAATTATTATTAAATATATAATATATTTTTAGGTGGATTTATGGAGAGTCTTGACAATCATTGGATTCTCCGAAGTAATGTACAACAATGCGAACAACTTGAAAAAGCTCCCAATACTTTGGGTCTAAAAAATATGGCCGGAGTGTTTATAGTGGTTGGTGTTGGAATTATTGGTGGCATCGGACTAATTATTATCGAAGTAGCATATAAAAAACATCAGATTCGTAAGCAAAAGAAGATGGAATTAGCAAGACATGCAGCCGATAAATGGAGAGGTGCAATTGAGGTAAAGAAAGACTTGAATATACTAAATTTTTAGCAGAAACCGATTTTCTTCTGTTCGATATCTTTCGTTGTTTTTTTCTCAGAATTCTATGTTTATTAGTAAATTGCAAGCAGCCAGGACAAATTAGGGGAGCAACGCAGAAAATTCTAACAGATCTCAGTAACAAAAAAGAATACGATTATCAGACGAACATTATAGATCAAAGCACAAATATTCATCGCTTTGCAAGCTTTAATAATAATGTCAATGCAATGAGATTTAACTTTTAATGAAGATGTAAGCTACGATGAAAAAAAAAAATAATTATCGTATTCTACACCAAAATTGCTTCTTTTATGTTGTATCATATAGTTGGCTTCTTTAAACTGATAATGATATTACCTTTTTAATCTTTCCTTTCAAAAATATATACAAAAAATATATACAAAAATTGAAAGAAAATTTCTAGATTTTAATATGCTACTGCAAAAAGCTATCATTATTATCATAGAAACGCAAAATATCACTATTTATCATTAATTTTTTATAATACATTTTGCATTTTGCAATACAAATACAATAGCATTAGTTAAGGCAATGAAATGAATGCAATTGTTTAAGATAATATTTATATCTAGTTTAATTTTTTGATTTTTGATTTTTTTTGAAATGCAGAAACGGAAAACTTTGCGGGCTTCGATAGCTGCTCAACGAAGAATTCAAAGTAACGGCCTTAACGATCCTACAACCGTGAGTTTAGCAGTCGATACGGTAGCTAGATCAAACGTGACTCCACGAAGTCCTGGTCGAGCATGGCCAGGAGATAGTGATATCCGTCAACGTCCTATTCCTCGTTCAGATGATATCAGATTATCGCCAGCTGCATATACAGCAAACGTCTCACATCTCATTGTGTAAACAAACTAATTTCTATCTTAATTTATTAATTACTTGTATATCATAAAATATTAAAATATATCATTACCTGAAAAATTTGTTAGATGTGACACATATAATTGTGTTAAGAATAATAAGATTTGTTTTATACAATAATAAAAATTATTGTTTTAATATGATAATGTTTTGATGCTCAATAAATATACTTTAATTAATAACATATATAAATTATTTTAATTGATGATTTATTGAATAAGTTTTGTTAATTTCTATAATTCATAATTTCAATAATTATTGAAAAAATATTTAATAATATTTAATATAAATAATTTATTATTTATATTGTTTAAAATTTTTATCATATTTTATTATTTAAAATTTTGAACAATAAACCATAATCAAATATATATTATTATACAATTTCATAATTGTATACATATCGAATTTTTCAAATTATATGTATCTATATACAAAAATAATCATTTTAATTATTTTTATGGTTATACGATGAATTTTTCTAAAAATATATTATATTTTAAAACATTTTTACCTTACATTATTATTGTTTATTAATTATATATTTATATAATTGAAAGCATTGATATATACCCATATATCAATTTTTAAATATTTTTAAAACATTTATTTTATATAACGTATAATAGCTAGAGTCAATATATATAATATAACTTTATATAATATAACTTTCGATTAATACATCTATAAAATATCTATAATAACTATTACATACTATTAGAATATTTAATTATACATTTAATTTATTTAGCATAATTTTATATTATTATATTATTATTATTAATAAAAGATGATTATATTAAAATTTAATCAATTAAAATATAAATTTAACAAAATGTAGTTTTTAATAATATTTTATAAATGACATAGTATATGTATCTTATTTAATTTGTAAGTTTCCTCTCTATCTCCATTCTCTTATATCATAACCATAGACATAACACATGAGAATAAATTGTGTCAAGTTTCTTACCGCTGTCATTTGACGAACTTTTATTATCCATTGTATCAAATTTGTTTTTTAGGTGATATTTAAACTGTTTAATTAATTTACAGTTAAAAGGTATGGCGGATACGACAGTGGATGCTACACGTCGTTTAAATGTTAAAAAACAGACTCTGGATGACGCTTATGCAGCGCCTGCAAATTTTCTCGAAATTGATGTGATTAATCCAATCACACACGGCGTCGGCAAAAAACGATACACTGATTATGAAGTTCGCATGAGGGTGAGTGATAAATCCTTTTTATTTTAAACTTATTTTTATCTAATATTATAAATTTTGTATATTTTAGATATTTTTCTATTCTAAATATCAGTTTTTCTTTTGCCGCTTAAATGCAATAATATAAGACTATATATTCTTATCAATATATATAAACTCTTTGTATTTTTACGTAATATAATAAAATATTTAATTAATTCTTCTAATTGATTCTTATTTATTAATATAATAAGTAAATAAAAATTAATTACTTATATATATTAATATACTTATATATACTTATAATTAAATTAATTACTTATATATACATCATTTTTTGTAAAAAAAAATTAGCATTTAATATATATATAGAGTACAATATTGTTACATTTTATTAGATAATTTACAAAAGTTTACAAAAATAAAATTTAAATGTTTTTAAATATTTTCATTTCATATATAATTATGACATTAATGAAAGGAGTAATTTTATTGTAGATATTAACCAAATCTATCATGGGCAGTGTCTGCTATCTTACTTTTAATGATAATTTGGGTAGATATAAAAAAATATACTATTGAAATTATAAACTTTAGATTAATGTCTATGGATTATTTTAAAAAATTAAAGCAATAGTTCTTTATACAAAATAATTTTTGTATAATTTATTTACATTGTATTATTTATAATATTATATTTTAATATATTATAATAATTTTATATTATTTAAATTAATTTAAAATAATATTAATTTGTATACTATATATTATATTAATATTAATAATATAAATATTTTATTGTTTTAAGATAAAATTAATTATAAATTATACATTTTTATATTATATTTTAAATGCTATATAAATAAATTATGAAAAAATAAATTTTCATTTCAGACAAATCTTCCAGTTTTTAAAGTAAAAGATTCCACAGTAAGAAGAAGATATAGTGATTTTGAATGGTTAAGAACTGAATTAGAAAGAGATAGCAAGGTCAGTTAATAAAATATATTTAAAAATTAAATTAATTTTTTTAAACATGTATATTTAATATTGGCAACATTGACTCATTATGCTAAAATTTTTCTATTAAAAATACCAATATTATAAATAAATAAAAAATATTTGCTACAAATTTATAGATAGTAGTGCCTCCATTACCAGGAAAGGCTTGGAAACGTCAAATGCCATTTCGAGGAGATGATGGTATTTTTGAAGAAGATTTTATTGAAGATCGAAGAAAAGGTTTAGAAGCTTTTGTTAATAAGTAAGCATATTAAAATATTTTAATATAATATAATTAAACTAAATATAACTATTTTTTTCAATTTTAATATATAAAAAAATTGCTAAAATTAAATAAAATTTATAATATTTCAGAATAGCAGGACATCCATTAGCACAAAATGAACGATGTTTACATATGTTTCTACAAGAACCTGTAATAGACAAGAATTACGTACCTGGAAAAATACGTAATACATAAGTTACAATAATTCTTATTTCAAGTATATTTTTCTCCCCACCTTCAATATATATGTAAAGTTATATTTGATTATTTTAAATTTACAATTTATTAAGATCCCTCTATGTCTATGCAATATTTAATCGAGCTTTCTATACTGTGATGTTGGACTGAAACTTGTTTCTTAAGATCATTGTGTTTTAAAATACAATGATAAAATATTTGGAGGGATTTTATTATTGAATATCATTATCAGTCGTAGAAAAAAAGATTAATAAAATTTTTTCTTTTCATTTTTTTTTTTTTTTTTTTTTTTTTTTTTTTTTTTTTTTTTTTTTTTTTTTTTTATTTTATTTATTTAGTAATATTATAATTATATCAACTTCTATAAAATATTTATAAATTTACATTTATATATCAGTTTCAGAAATTGCAGAATAATGTTATATACAACAGTTCAATTAATATATAAATATATGAAATTTATGAATTTCAAAATATGGCTTGAAAAATAAAATATTAAGACAAAAAGTATTTATTTACAAGTTATTCAATAGAAAGTATAATAAAGATTTGATCTTTTTTAATAGCTTTATCACTGTTTTTTGTATACAAATAATATCAATAAAATAAAATAAATTAAATAATAATATTTTATTATGCTGTTTTTTTTTGAATAACTTGTAAATAGTATATAAGTTTATTTGTAAACAGAATTATTACAAATAAGTAAATAAGATAAAGTAATTTAAAAATAGAAATGAATCTCTAAAAAATTGTTTATAATTTAATATTCTTTGCATAAGAAAAACTGTTAAAAATCTAATATTTACTAAATTTAATCTTTGTTTATTAATGATAAAATATATATATAATTAAGATATTTTGAATCTCCTTGTTATGCTCCTTATTTTATTTTGAAAATAAGAATATTATTACTTATATTATTACAAGAATATTATTGCTTTATGGAATGAAACTAAAATCAATAATTCATATATTATGTTTTCATATTTTTGTAATTTACATTAAGGAGAAATAACACTTTTGAAACATTTATATTTATCAAAGGGACTATGTACAGGGCATAGATTAAACTATTTTACATTATTTTATTTAAGTTATAGTTAGTATTGCAAAAAAACATTTTAAGTATATTTCATTAATTTAATATAAATATATTTACGTGTATATACAGATGCACACATAATATTGCATACCAACAGAAATATTATATATCAATATAAATAATAAGGAACATAAGAATAATTAAGACTGTGTTTTAAATATTTATTTTTACAAGATTAATATTCAAAAAAATTTTTAATTTTAGTTTAAAAAATTTATTTAGTTTATTTTATGTGAAAATTTTCATTAAAAATTCAATATTCTTGAACTATAATATTTTTTTTTAAATTAAAAAAAGTGTCCGTAAATAATCTTAAATTATTATTTTATCTTATATTGCATTTTAAACTTATTTTATAATAATTTAATATAATATTTATTCTTTTTTTTTATAATAAAACATATAATTTTGCCTTTGATTTAATCTCAAGCTTAAAACTTTTATTTAAATAAATGCAATATTAATAATTGAGTTATATGAAACATTTTATGAGATTTTTTTGATTTAAGATTAAATTACATAATGTATATTTATAAATATACATCTTGTTTAGTTCTAATAAATTTTTTATTTTTGAAGTATGTTTCTATATATTTGCTCACACAGTCTTGTTCTGAAAAATAAAAAAAATATATTATATTAAATAATATTTTTAATTGTTAAGAAATTTAATATTTATTTACTAACCTGGAAATGTATTTTCAATAATAAGCATATCAGCTACATGCTTTGCAACTATTTTAAATAACTGTCTATCTTTAATTCTTCGTTTTTTATAGAATGGCATCAAATGTTTTACAATCCATGGTGCTATTCTTTCTTTACATGCAGTTAAATGTTCTTCTATACAAATTGGTGAATCTGGCATCATTTCTTCATCATCAGTTTCTCCAAATAGTTCAATAAATTTTTCTTTAACTCTACCATGTCTTCTATAATCTTTTAAAGATAATTCTGTCATTTTTGCTTTTAATTTAGATACCTGATATACACGTTCAACAAACCAAATACTGTTTATTCTACGTTTATGTTTATTTTCTATTGTTTCACTTTCAACTGGTAATAATTTATTAGTTTGTCTGGTTTTCATTTCTTTATAATAACTAAAACTGTATTTTCCTGTATTTGTATTTAATGCCTTTATATTAGTATTCTTAATAGAATTAATTTTTATATTATTTTCAGGCATATTAATAGAGCCATTCGAATTATGTGGAAGAAGAGCATTAATTTCCTTATCCATATTAGCTTTAGTAACACCTGAATGTTTTTCAATTAATGTCATAAGATCGCTACTATCGTCACTATCACAAAACATGTCTTCCATGTGTTGTAAAAGCGAATCCTGTGAATTTTCATCATCATTTTGGTTATTAGATTGATTTGGAATTTGAGAATTAGAATTATCTTTTATATAATTAAAAATATTGCTATCTTCTTTCATTGTCTCTTCATCTACTATCATTTTTTTATTTATTTCTTCATCTGATTTGATATCAAATTTATTTTGTATTTTATCATGGAAATGAGTAGAATTTACAGTAGGTGAAGTTGTATTATTGCAAATAGTTAATTGAGAAGATATATCATAATCTTCACTTTCATTATTTATATCATCTTCTTCTTTATACTTTGGTGTTTCTTTATGTAAGGATAATTCTTCACAATTAGATGTGATACATATACTTTGTATATTATCTGCCCTTTCTAATTCTGCCCATGTATTAATTGTTTGAACCCCAATGTCTACTTTAGTTGATGGGGTTTCTAAAAATATTATTAATTTTTTATAAGCTTTCTTTTCTGATGTATGTGATTTTACATCTGAAATCTATAAATCTTAATTTCAATTATTAATCAATTTATTATATTAAAATACATTAATAAATAGACTTACTAATTTTAACATATTTTGTCTATATAAAGTAGCTTCTAAAGATGATCGCACTGCAAGCAATTCCATTTCATTTGCACATTTTTTTAATTGACTACTTGGAATATCTTCATTTTTCTCTTTATAGCAAAGAATATAATTAGTGAGTAAACATTTATGAAGATATGAAAAATATACAGCACGAACCTGTAATAAAAATTAAAATATTAAATATTTTAACATTTTATAAATATATCGATATTTAATTAATTATAAATTATAAAAACCACTAAAATTAAATGTTTAAAAATAACTAAATATTTAGATTTTAATATTTTGAAATATTTATTATATTTTATACAAGAAACATGCCGTAGTAGTTAATCGAAGAAATTCATCATTTAGATCAGTAGGAATGTGAAATTTATTCGCCGAAAGTGAAGGTATTGATATTGATAGAAGATCGTTAATATCCTCGAGACTTGTATTGTCATCATCAGTATCTTCTATATCAAATTTTTCTTGTCCTTGTTTCAACGTGAATGGTAAAGATGTATCAATTTGATTTATCGTTGTCATATTCAATAGTCTGTAAAAATTTTATAGAATTATTTCAAATTTTTCACGGACATTTCATATATTTCGTAAATATTCACCATGCAATAATATCTTGTTCAACATTCTTATGAATCAAACATCCGTTTGTTACTTCGTAAAATGAATGTAGTAGCTATTAAATTTTTATATCAATATTATAATTCAAGGAAAAAAAATTCTTTTTGTTATCAAACGAAAATATTATTTATATCTACACTTATTTGACTCCACAATTGTAATTTAAGTAACTAACTTCACACATATCAAAACTATATGTACATAAAATAATTTTTATATAATTTATGACAATCATTAATAAAAAATTTAAATAACTAATAATTGTTTAAATATAAGAAAAAATTTTTATTATATTCTAGAATATTGAAAAATATTTTTAATTAGTGAATTAAATAATAATAATAAATTATTTATCTAATTACAATAATAATCACAATTTAATATATAATTGAATAATTGTTTAAATTTGAAATATATCAAAATTAAATTTAAATAAATATATCAATATTATAAAATAAGTTATTGAAAGTTTTCTTATTATACTTCTAATATAATTACATTGCATTTTTATAAATATTTTTTAAATATTTCAATATAATTATATGATAAAACTAATAATTTTCCAATTATTAAAAATTATATTAAAAAATATATTTTTATAAGAATATTAATTTATATTATAATAATAATTAATAATAATCACAATTATTAAGTTCATATAATGGTAAATTAAAATACACAAATTATTTTTTTATAATTTTTTTATATTACAAATTTTATTATTCTTTAATTTAAAAATAATATTAATGGTATAGAAAAATACAAAACACAAAATCGGAAAAATTTGTTTTAATGATCCTGATTTATATTTGTACTCTTTCAATACCAATTTTTATAAGAATGTTAGATTTATATTAATATATGATGAAATTGAAATAGTACTGAAATATTTTAATTGTCTCTAGTTTCTGGTTCTTCATCATATGCTCCCATAACTTTTTCCATTATTTCCCAAAGTTTATCTCTTGTTAAATCTTTACAGAAGACCTGAAAAAAATTACAATTTGTTTTATACTTTTAAATGATTCTTGATTTTTAAATTTAAAGTTACAAAATATTTTAATCATTACATTAAACCAAGGTTGCTGATCACATTCGTCCATTAATGGCACTACTACACCATAAATTTGTAGTGACAAATTAATACAAGCAATTGCTATTAAATTTGGTGGATAATCAAGTATAGCTGGAGAATGATGAAAATCTTGTAGAAGTGCCATACTGGTTTTTGCAACTGGATATTTAGACCACTCTTCTTCTCCAAACCATGCTTGCAAAGACCGTAAATAATGTAACATGTACTAAAATTAATATTGATTAATAATAATATTTATATAATAATATTTATATAATAATATTTATATAATAATATAATATTTATATAATATAATAATGTATGATTAATATTTACTTTATGTGGATGTATTGGAGTTACTTGAAATTTGAGCATACGCATGATTAAAAGTTCTGCTTGAACTATTGCATCTCTCATACTCCAATATTGATCTCCCAATTCTAAGGGTTGTGATCCTCTATGTAATGTGCTATAAGATACATTCATTACATCTCTTATTTTTAAATTATCATCTTTCACTTTTCCAGCTAAATAAAGGCATGTTGCAGCAATTAACTAAAAGACATATACATGTATATAAATATTAATTATAAAAAATATATATTAGATATTTTAATTAATATTATAAATGTGTAATTTACATAATTATCATAACCTCCTGGAACAGCTTCTTTTATAAATCTATGATATAATGTTGCAGCTGTAGCAATAGTCAATGGATGAGCTTCTAATTTTAAACCTATAATTTTACAAAACTTAAAATTACTTTTCATAAATATAATCTTTTTGAAACACAAAATTTTTAATCATTATTTTTAAAACCTACCACATTCAAATATAAATCTTGAAATTGTGAAACTATCACTACTTTTTGTATAATCAATTGTAATACTTTTCTGCAAAGTATTCCTCTTCTCTCGTTGCATAGCTAATACATCAATAACATCTTTCATTTTGGAACTATACAAAATTTGAAAAAAAAATTTATTTTAAACAATATATTTTTATTAATTAATCTATTACAGATATATTATTAATTATAATTAAATATGAAAGATATATATAAAATTATTAAAAATACTATAAAAAACTAATTTAAGCATAAAATTTATTTAATATATTATTGAATTTTTTAAATATAAAATAAAAATGAAATAAAATATAAGAATTGCATAGAAATTACGATTCAGCATACTTTTAATTTAAATTTAAAAAAGAAATTTATTTTAAACAATTAAATTATATATAATTACCTTAAAGTTTCAGTACTTGTAGGTTCCGTTGGATTCATTTTGATGATATTTTAATTGAATTTGTTTATAAAATAAAAATGAAAACAATTTGTTTTGTTACAGGTTATAATATTTATTTACCGTACACTGCGTATCAAAATTACCAACAGACAATTATATTCCCGCAAAAATTCCTTCTTAAAGGAATATGCTATATGATTATTCTCAGTCTTATATCTCACTTTATTATGTGATGTAATCTTCACTTTCATTTGTCAACAATCTACAATATGATAATATTATTATAAATTCATTAATTAATTTTTTTTTTAATACAATAATTCTATTTATTACTTTTTTATTTTCTACATTAGCTGATCAATATCTGGCAACTCTGATCAATATGTACTTTTTTCCATTGGAGATTTTAATACCAATATTTGAATAATTAAATATTGTATTTTTTAATGAAATTTTAATAAAATTAATTCAATGTGTATGATTAAATTTTATTTTGATATATCAAAAATTGATAATTTTTTGTTTTTCCAATAACTTTTAACGAAGAATCTAAAAATATTAATTTTTAATTTAAAAATTCACTAGTTCAGAAATTATTCATATGTAAAATTGATTCTTTTTAAAAATATATATTACATATTGATTTCGCTCATTAGACAAATTAATATGATGTCTTAATAAAATATTAGTATAAAAATATAATTAATAATTAAATTTTAACACCATTAAATAAGTTAAATACGAATAATTTTTGACCTAGTAGATTTCTAAACTTAAAATTAATATTTTTGAATTATATTCATTAAAAACTAAAGATACAAAAAAAAATTAATAATTTTTGATGTTTTAATAAAGTTCATTGATCATAATTATTATACATATCATATACATTTGCTATCAAAGTTTTTTTTTTTAATATTCTTTTTTTATTATTGAATATGTTTAATATTAATGCAATTGTATGTAAATATTCTATATAATTTTCATTCTGTGTTGATTTTAAAGTATTTTGATTCTTGACTTTTATCATTTATATATAAATATGCCTTTAAAAGGTATAAAAGTATTAGAATTAGCTGGAATTGCTCCAGGTCCTTTTTGTGGAATGATATTAAATGAATTTGGTGCATCTATAATTAAAGTAGATAAGGTATTATTAATATATGATTTTTTTTCAATTGAAATAAGTTAACATTTGTTTTTTGTAGATTGATGGATTTTATAATACCATTGATGTTCTAAGTCATGGAAAAAGATCAATTGCATTAAATTTAAAAACTTCTCAGGGTCTTGATATATTTAAAAAATTGAGCAATCAAAGTGATGTGATTATAGATCCTTATAGAGCTGGTAGTATTTTTTAACAAATATTATTATTATGTAAATATAATAAATCATAATATAATAAAATTGTTCAAGGAGTAATGGAAAAATTAAAACTTGGGCCAAAAGAACTTATGGAAACAAATAAGAGATTGATATATGCTAGATTAACAGGATTTGGTCAAAATGGACCTTATGCTAATATGGCTGGACATGATATTAACTTTTTAGGTTTATCTGGTAATTTAGTAATAACATATATATTATTATGTACTTATATATATTTAGTTATTTTATTTCAACAAATATTTAATATTATAAGAATTTTAAAGTATTTTTAATAATATTCAGGTTTATTATCATTATTTGGACGATATAATCAAAAACCAACACCACCAGCTAATCTAACTGATTTTACTGGTGCATTGATTTGTGTTTTTGGTATAATGCTAGCCTTATTTGAACGTAATAAAAGTAACATTGGTCAAATAATTGATGCATCAATGGTAGATGGATCAGCATACATAGGTAGTTGGATGTATAGATCTCAAAATATATTTGGTTTATGGGGAAATCCCCGTGGTAAAAATATGTAAGAATTTATAAACTAAATCACTACTTATTTTATTCTCTATAGTTTTATAAAAATAGATAATTAAATAATTTTTTATAAATATAGATTAGATTCTGGAGCACATTTTTATGATACATATGAAACAAAAGATAAACAATACATATGTGTTGGAGCAATTGAATCTAAATTTTATAAGATATTTTTAGAAAAACTTGGTATTTCTTCTGATGAAATACCACAATTTGATAAATTTGAAAAAAATCGTGAAAAATTAGAAAAAATATTCAAACAAAAAACTCAAGCAGAATGGTGTGACATATTTGATGGCACAGATTCTTGTGTAACACCAGTTTTAAATTTAAAAAATGTTGCATTACATGCACATAATAAAGAAAGAAATACATTTAAGATTGAAGATGATGGTTTAGTCACTCCAAATCCTGCTCCTCGTTTATCTCGTACACCTGGTATATCCAAAAAATATCAAAAAATTCCTGAATTAGGTGAGCATACTATAGAAATTCTTAGTGAATTAAATTTTAAACATGAAGAAATTACTAATTTTATAGCAAATGGAATTGTTAATCAAAAAATAAAACGTTCTTCACTTTAATGTATTTGATTTCTATTGAAATTTATATATCTTTATTAAATATAAAATTATAAAATTATATAAAGACATATCTATACTACATATGATAGATAATCATTTATAAATGATCCAATAAATAATGAGAATAGAAAGTATATATTTTTTATATGATATTATCTATGATTTATATATATAATTATGTAACATTGTTAAAAGATATATACATGTGAACTATTTATAGATAATGTCTATTAGTATAGTCATTAGTATAGTCATATAATCAAGTCCTAATATGATTGTATGCATAAAAAATATTCTTTTGTTTTATTACTGTATAAAAATATTTTATATTTTTGTATTTCATTACAAATATAAGTATATATTTTTTAAATTATTGTTTTTGTATATTATAATATATTATAATATATATATAATATATTTTGTATATTATAAAATTATAAAAAAACAGCAAATTATTGTTTTTAAATTTATTTCTCATATTTCTTTTTTGTTTAATCACATATTTACCATGATTATTGGATTTTTAAAAAATCATAAATTATTTATTTGTTTATTATAATTTCTGAAACATTTTTTATAATATAAACAATTGCTACATCATCTGGTTTCATTACATAAGCAATATGATCAACATAATGTACTATCAAAAATAAATTTCGGTTTTTTTTAGATATTTAATCCAATGCTCGAGAACTTAACTGATATTTAAAATTATCTAGCCTCTTTAATCTACTATAGTACCCGAATCTATATAATATTTAATTCATCTTCTATCTTTTGTTCGATTTATTTCTATGATATAGATTTTATTAAATTTTAAATTTTTATTTAAGTTTTGATATAATTTAGCTGATTTTTTAACTATTAAAGATCTGTAATTTTCTTTGGATTGCAAATCAAGAATATTTACCAAATTGTGTTCTATATTTTATCTTTATCATTAGTAATTTCATGAAGAATTATTTAATTAAATTCATTATCTATATAAGTCATTAGATCTTTCAGAATTTGTAAGACATAATATTTTTAAAAAATATACATATATAAATATATATCTTGGATATTTTATCTCTTATGTAAAATAAATATATATATTCTATATATATTCTACATATTCTATATAAATATATTCCAATATTCAGTAAACAGTTTGCATGTTTATACATTATACATAAAAGAACAATATTGACAAAATTTTTTTTATAAGAGAGAATACATATTTGTAAATAAATTATATAACTGACTGACACTAAGTGAAAAAATCTATTAAATATTTAATATTGAACTAATTTTCTTAACAATATGTCTGAATATCTTATGAATCACTTTATAATATATAAATTTTATTTACAATAAATAATTATTACAATGTCTGTTTATGTAATACATTGCTAATTAATTGCCAATTTTTTGCACTTTAAATTTTTCACATAAATTTTTTACATAAATTTTTTAAAATTAAAATTTATATAAAATATATTTTATTATTTAATGATAAATACCTACATAATAAAATTATTTATAATAATGTACTTGAAATTTAATTTAATTTATCAATTATATACTTGAAATGTAAAATTTTATTATAAATATCGAATGTTTGCTACAAACTACATCAACAAATATGAAGCATATTATTGAATTGGAGATGGTTGCACAGGCTCATCTCGACGAGAATCCTTTTTGACAGGGGGAATAGACACAGATTTTATTGACAATAAAGAACCAAACAAAACATGTTGAATAACAGGGAATTTCGCCAGAACCTAATATTTAAAATATAAAATTTTTTAAATATTTAAAAATTATATTTAAATTTATTATTAAATTAAATTTATTATTAAAATTATTAACAATAATATTTACCTCAACTCTATACATTTTAATAAGACCGCTATTTACTTTGACCCATGTAGACACTGCACTCACATTCCATAATTGATTTGAATGTTCAGCAAATGGGCCTGTTTTTACCTAAAATAATTTCAAAATTTAAAAAAAAATTAAATTATACTATATATATGCATGTATACATGCATATATACAAACCTTTGAAATGAATTCAATGCAACCAAGAAACATATATTGTTTGCTATATGTTTGAACAATATCTGATTCAACAAAATGACGAGGTTCTATACGAGGATGTCCTAAAATATTTATTTTATGTATGTTTATATATACATGTTTTAAATATATTATTATAATAAAATACAAACAAAATAATACCAATTAATTGTGCACTTCCCCATATAAAAGGAACAAATTGATAGTCATCTAGACTCCATACACCATGACTACCTGCTGGTTCCATCCGATAAGTTAATTGTAATCTACGTACTAATTCCAGATATCTTTAAAAAATATAAATAATTTTGTTTTTTTAATTTCAAGAATATATAAAATATTAATTTTTAAATTAAATAAAAAATAAATTACCTGTTAAATATTTTTATAACTACTGCAACTTTATCATCTTGTGTAAAAGCACCAATTTTGAACATACAACATAAAAACATTAAAAATGCCATTTCATGTCCTGTGCCATAATCTATACGTGTTGCATTCCCAAAGCCTTCACATAAATATTGAACTATTTCTGGAACTGCTCTATGTAATTTTTGTGGCAATACTTTTTGTAATTTTGTTATTCCATTCTGAAATATTATTAATCAAAAAATTTTGAAGATTTTCATATAAAAATATATCATATTTACCTGTTGTAATCTTTCATGCCATATTCTAAATGATTTATTTCCAAAACGTTGGGGCTGTTCAGTAGGAGGTATCTGTGTTATCCAATCATCAAATTCATTAAGCATTTTAATAACATTTCCTATTGCAGGACTTTGTGAGCATTCAACATCTAAAGCTTTTCCTTGAACTGATTCATTCAAAGCCAATATAAATCCCAAATATTCCTATAAAAACATTCTTATATTTTTTCATGTATTTGAAGATATTTAAAAATATTTTATGATTTTATGATTTAAAAAAAAGTAATAAAAATTCTTACAAAATATGCTTCGGATTTTTCCCACATTTTCATATGAGCCGGTGTTTTAATCGATTTTTGTGGAACAACAAATTCATGATCATCAGCTAAAATTTAATAAAAAATAATTATTTGAATTTATTAATTGCAATTTTGTAAAATACATACGAGATATAGGTAACTTTGACGTTGACATCGTATTTATCGTAGAACTTGACTATCATATATTGAAAATAAATTCGGACTATGAAAAAAAAGAGAGATATATACTTAAATTATATATATATATATATATAAAATATTATAAAACATTTGAATTATGTACAAATACCAGTGTTAAAAAGCTAAGTTGTTTTAAATATTAACACAGTTTTATTCGGAAACATACAAATTTAACTTAAATTGTTAAAATTGTGTAAGAAATATGTTTAAAAATGTTTTTAAAAAATTGATTTCTTATTATATCAAAATTTCATAAAGGAAAAATTAAAATACAAAAATATATCATTTATGAGCATTAAAATTAAATTTTAAAGATAGATCATATACTGCCTTATATACAAATTTATTACTAAAAGTAAAACCAATCATATTATGTTCAAAAGTTACTGGAAATATAACTATCAAGAAGTTACTGGAAATATAATGATTGAGAATGAAATTTTTCCTAGATAATAAAATAGTATCATTCAAATTAAATCGAAACGTTTAAACAACAATTGTATAAAATAAGTTATTAAGTTAATTTAAATTAATAAAAATAGAAGAAAATGAAAAAGTTATATATTGTTATGTATTTTATAAAATATTATAAATATTAACTATACAAGATTTATAAAAGAATATATACAAAGATATATACAAAGAATATATATAAAGAAAAGTATATATATATATATATATCAGATTTATAATTATAATAAAAAAATTAAAAATATTTAATTTTTAAACATTTTTAAAATTATAGGCATGAATTATTCTCAAGAAGAAATAGAAAAAAAACGTTTATTAGCTATACAACGTAAAAAACAAGCTCAATTAAAAAACAGTTCATTTAATTCTACAAATATAGGAAATAATATTTCTTCTAATGATAATATTTTAATTAATGAAAATAAACTAAATAATAGTACAAAAGTTTTGAGACATGGTCAATCAAAATATATTAATTTCAAAACAAAATTTGAAAATAATTCTGATAAAAATAATGCAAAATTCAATAAACAAAAAGAACGTTTTAATCCTATATCAACCCAAAATTTTTTTGGTCAAAAATCTTCTATTACAGGAAAATGTTATATGATAAGTGATACAAGATTTATATTAGAAATTTCATCATATTTTCCTCCACTTATTGAAACATTAAAAACAATTTCAAGCAGATCATATGGTAATATAAAATATATATTTAATATAATTTTATTAGTTAATAATTTAAGATTTAAAATAAAATATATATATATATTATATAAATAATAATATTTATAAAATATTATTATAAAATGTATATTTTAGATATGAAAACTAAAAATTGGAGTTTTCATTTGAAAGATTATGAAGCACTAATGGAAAAAATTATTAATTTCAAATCTGATGTACAAATCATAGGATTACCAAAAATAGTTCTTCAGGTACATTGAAATATATGTTATATAATATATATATAGATTTATATATTTTAAATATTTTTTTAGATATTCAGAAAAAATGATACTTCAATAAATACAATTGAAAATATTGATTTATCAGATATTGATCCTAAATTATTAGAAAATATAATGCCATTTCAACGAGAAGGAATATGGTATATGATCTATGTATTTTTAATTAACAAATTTTTTAAACCAAATAATATTAAATTTGTTATTTTTAGTTATGGAATATCTAAAGGAGGTCGTTGTATGATTGCTGATGATATGGGTTTAGGAAAGACTATTCAAGCATTAGGCATTGCACATTATTTCAGGAAAAATTGGCCTCTTCTTATAATTGTACCTTCTTCAATGAGGTTTGATAATAAAAAATACTATATACAAAAAAAAATATATATATATATATATTATATAAATATGTATATTTCATTATAATCATAAATTTGTTAAATATAGGTATCAGTGGGCAGAAGCAATATATACATTTTTGCCATCTGTACCTACACATTATATTTATCAATTTGCAAATACAAAAGATATTATTGATGATAGTAAAATTGTTATTACAACATATGATCTCTTAGTACGAGCTGTGGACACATTTCAATGCAAAATTTTTGGTTTTGTTATTTTGGTATGTTATAAATATGTTATATACATATATACATATAGTAACATTTTATTGAAATATAGAAATTTATATATTAGGATGAATCTCATGTCTTAAAAAGTTCAAAAACTGCAAGATTTAAGGCTGCACAGTGTATAGTTTTACAAGCACGTCATGTTATTTTGCTCTCAGGAACGCCCGTGTTATCAAGACCTATAGAATTGTATTCTCAAATAAATCTTATAATGCCAAATTTTATGGGGTAATATAATATTTCTTATATATAATTTATGCATAAATAAAAAAAAATTATATTTATATAGATATCATGAATATGGAACTCGATATTGCGCAGGAGAAAAAACTTCATTTGGATGGGATTTTACAGGATCATCAAATATGCAAGAATTGCACTTATTATTAAAACGTACTTGTATAATTCGAAGATTAAAAAATGATATTCTAAATCAATTACCAATAAAAAAAAGGTAAGAAATAATATTAATATTATAAAATTATATATAAATATATATCTTTATAATAATTATTTATTTATCAAATAAATTTTAGGGAAGTTATTTTATTAAATCCAGATTTAATAAAAGTTGGTAAAGAAATGTTAGAAATATCTAAAAAGCTAGAAAAAAAAGTTTTAAATAATTTAGAAAAACATAATACTCTTTTACAATATTATAATGAATCTAGTATTGCTAAACAAAAGGCTATATGGTAAATAATATTATTATAAGTATAATAATATATTATTTAATAAATACCTTTTTGAATCAATAATATTTATAAATGATAATAATGTTTTAGTGATTATGTTTCAAAATTATTTGTAAATAAACAAAAATGCATTATATTTGCTCATCATCATAATATTCTGAATGCTATTTGTGAAGTTGTGGAATCCATGAATATAAAGTAATTATATTGATTATATTGATTATATTGTTACTTTTATCCCAAAGATATGAATATGTAAATTTTCTTAAGTAAGAATATAGATAATAGAGAATATTATATTTAACTTTAATTTACAATGATTTAAAAATATTTTATAGTCAAATTGACATTGAAAATAAATATTGATATTTTAAATATGTTGATTTCAATGATTGTTTTTTTATTTTTAATATTTAAATTATAAACTTCCATAAATTATTAAATTGCATATTTATATCTTTAGTATAAAGGGCATGATATATACTATTACAGAAAGATAAAATTTTTATTTATTCGCAAAATTCGCAAAATATATGTTTTAGATTCATTAGAATTGATGGGAAAATGAATTCTGAACGTAGAAAATATGAAATTGATAAATTTCAAAACAATGACTCTTATATTGCAGCAGTATTATCAATTACTGCAGCAAACGCTGGGATTACACTCACAGCAGCACAACTCGTAATTTTTGCAGAATTGTTTTGGAATCCTGGAGTATTTATCGCTTATATTATTTTTGAAATTATTATTATTATTATAAATTGTAATAGTTATATAAAATTAAAAATTAAATTTATTTAAAATATTTTATTATAGATTTTATGTCAAGCAGAAGATAGAGTACATAGAATTGGTCAATATAAAAATGTTATTATTCAATATTTAGTTGCGAAACATACAGCAGATGATTATTTATGGCCTTTAATTCAGAAAAAAATGAACGTATTGAACGAAGTTGGACTGGATCAAGATTTTTCTTTGAAAGATATTGATTATACTACACAAGGATTAAATTCGAAACAAAAAACTTTAAGTTTTTTCATTAATAATGAACAATATAAACACGAAGTTGATAAAAAAATAGTACAAGATAATGAAAATGCAACAAAAAATATCATATCACAAAATCAATCTTCTACTACAGAAGAATTTAAAGAATTACTTGATATGAATGAAGAAGACTTTGATTTTTGTGATTGGGACAATATGGAATGAAAAAGAATTATTATAACTTTATATCAAGTGTATGAATTTGTATTTAAGTAATAAAAATATTTATTTTTTAATATTTTTTTTAAAATTATTACTAAAGTTTTCGTAATAAAAAATATGTGTATTTCAGTAATTTTTCATAAAATTTTAATTGTAAATTTGTGAAATCAAAAATATAATATATATTATTTTATTTTTTATATTAAAGATTATAATTCTAAATAAAAATATTAAGATTAAAATAAAAATGATAAAGTTGCGTTGAAATTGATATCTCATATTTTGTCTGTAATATGGTGTCGAGTAAATATAGAAAAAGTAAATAATAAAATAAAAAAAATAAATAATAAAAAAAGGATAAAAATAAAAATAAAATAAACAATTAAATTTATTTAAAATATTTTATTATAGATTTTATATCAAACAGAAGATAGAGTACATAAAATTGGCCATCTATAAATAATGAAATATATGTAAACAAGAAAAATAAATAATGGAAAATAATGGGAGACAAGAAAAATTGACTACTAGCGCTATCTCTTTAATACCAAAAACATTTCATTCAAAGATAGGATAAGATAGAGTGAAATTAAGGATTAAGTGCCCTCTCTGAATGCATTTAGAAAGATATTTTTTGGAATAAAATGGCATTGGCTTATGCACATCTTATATGAATATAGTAATAGGTTACTTTGAATATTTACCGCACAAACGAATGCTTTCAATGCAGTGTTTTTTCTGAAACTTATGTTTGTTCGTTGATTAAAGTCGTGTGTGAATCTTAATTTGTATTTATTTATAACAAATATATTTGCAATGTCCATTTTTAACGCGCAGCAGTTTTTAGGTGCATTGTATAAACGTTATATAATTTCATTGCCATCGATAAATTTATCTAGAACTCAAAAAGCAAGTATCTCTTTTTGAGGTTAGAATAAATACATTTACATTCAATAATTTTGATATTACATAATATTTAAAAAATGATATTTCATATTCTTTTTATTATATTATTCTTCATAATAATCTGAAAAATATTTGTATTATTACTTTGTAATAAAGTAATTAATAATATTTTAATATCTTGTTTCTCTTTTTATAGATTTTTATTATTTGTCTTACGGGAGGATCATTACTATTAGGAGGATTAGCACAATTTTTAAAAAGACGAAGAAGACATCCTCTCCCTTCTTCAAGAAGACCTTTAAGAGAATTAAAACAAAGATATGCTGCTGCAAAAAGTTCTAATTTTGGTAATCTAAATTAAAATATATAATTATATAAAATATAAATTTATAAATAGATATTTAATAATTGTGATTAATAAGTATAAAGTATAAATATTTTATAATATTAAAATAAAATTGCACAATTTTTCTATATGTATAGATGCATTATCACAAGCATCATGGGCAAGAAAAAGTGAGGCTAGCAGCAGAAGTCATATAAGTGATCGAGTATCACTTATATCTTCTGTTCCAGGAGGTCCAGATGGTGATGTAAGACTTACTCCACAACAATATGGAGTTCTTGGTAAGTCATTTTTATATTTAGCTCTTATAATATATTCTTCTAGTCATATTTTAAATATATTTTTATTATATATTTTTTATAATTTCTAAAAGATTTCTTAAAAATATTTAATTTTTAATATTAATATTATTCTATTATTATTATTCTATTATTCTATTATTAATATTTAAAAATAATATACAAAAAAATTATGAACCAATTTTTTTCTTTATATGAAAATTGGAAAGTAAAATAATGTAAATAATTTATTAGTTTTTAATTTTATTGAGATATTTTTTGATATACAAGAAATAGGAGTATATATAATATTATTAAAGATAAAAATAACAGAATATAGAATAGATATAATTTTTTTAACATCCAAAATTATCCTTTGCGCGCGCGCGCGCACGCACGCACGCACGCACACACGCACGCACACACACACACACACACACACACACACACACACACACACACACACACACACACACACACACACACACACAGAGAGAGAGAGAGAGAGAGAGAGAGAGAGAGAGAGAGAGAGAGAGAGAGAGAATGCATTTATATTTGTATGAGATAGAAATAACATAATAATTTATAAATGATATACCTGCATCATACATGTATTTATAAAAGTTGAGGATAGTTGTGGATATGGTTAAATGCAATTTTTTTATGTTGGAATTTTTATTAACATTTTCTCAGAGGCATACAGAAATATGAAGAAGCAACAAAAAATAAGCGATAATTTTTTTTTCAAATACACAAATATCCTATTATCTTTTGTTTCTTTCTTTTCAAGATAAAATTAATTTTATCTTGATACTATATTATTAATTTACTTTGGGCCACATCCGATGCATCATTTTATTCACAATGAGAAAATATTCTTGAGTATTAAATATCATTATTTTACTTTATCTTCTATCTATTTTTTTCTTCTGCTTCATTTAAACATATAACATTCTAAAATTTACATGACCCAATCTCGCAACAAATTATTGCTTTCTATTATAATTAACAAATTGTTTAACAGAATATGTCATATCTTTTTACATCTACATAAATCTACATAAATTTTTTACTGAATATATCACAATATTGTGATTAGGCTTACTTTGTATACATATTATTAGAAAATTGTGGACATTTTGTTTTTATTCAAATTAAATTATTTATAATAATTTTCGCGTTATTTTTTTCATTGATGCATATAATGTAATAAAATATGAATAATTCATACAATATTATTTACCGTTCTTAACTATAAATGATTAAATAAATTCGTAACAGTTATTCCTAATAAGAAGAAATATAGAAATTATGTTATATATATACAAATGTACTAAGAAAATATCGAGAATATGTAACGAATGTATGATAAATACTATTTTATTTTCCAAACTTCCAATGCAAAACCAAGTTTAAACTATTAAATGTAGTTTTTAAATAAATTCGTATTTCTCGTTTTCTTATCAAACAAATGTACTTTACAAGTTATTAACATATCTATACAAATTAAAATACTGCATTCGTTTGCCATTACAATTTCCATTAATAATTATTTTTTAGGAATCTGCAAGCCTATCACTTTACATGAGACAGATGGGTACACAAAATATTGTATTATTTTTACTGTATTCAGAAGAAATCATTTCAAATAATTATAGAAATATTAATAGCTTCTTTTTAATTCTTTAATATTATTTGAAAATTTCCATATTATTATTTATTTTCAAATAGTGTGCACTTTATTATTATTGTTATTATTATTTATTATTATTATTGTTATTATTATTATTATTATTATTATTATTATTATTATTATTATTATTATTATTATTACGTAGCAAATCCTACTATTTTTTTTTTTGTTTTATCTAAGGGTCTTTCAAAGCTTTACATCAGTCGATTAAATAATATTAAAATAGCGTTGGAAAAATACCACGTACCCATCCACCTGAACTCTACATATTCTTATTTGTTACACCTTTATAAATCTTACAATTTTCTAAAATTATACTGCACTTTCAAAAATATATAACTGCATTAATTCGCGAATCTTTGTTTCTCCACATTCTTATTCTCTTTCATTATTCTTCAATTTCCATTCGTTTACTCATTAAAAGCTTCCTTTAGAAGCTATACACATTCTTATATACATATATAGTTGTCCGAAATAATACCTGTGGTAATTGTAAACTCTTTTTGAATACGTCTCTCTCAAAAAAAGGATATCATTCTTTTCTTTTTTATTCTTTTTTCCATTCAAAGCTTTTCTTCAAAATTTTTCCCAGAGAAGATTCTAGAATGTACACTTTGCGAAGGCATAAAATAGTTTAACTGGAAAATCGATTCACAGCAAGATTAGTTTAAAGACGGAATGTCATTAGTTTACATTCATCAGTTAATTCAACAATATAGAGGTAAATGTTAACGATCCATAATTGTTAACATATCCATATATATGTTGGCTGCGATCGCTTGTACTTAACATTCGTCATGAGACTAGCTCATCGTTAAGATATTCTTCGCTATCCTAAATGTGTATATATATATATATATATATATATATATATAAAATATGAAGTATTTTTTATTCATCTTTGAAAGGCAAGCACTATGTCAGCTCTGACATGGCATTCTGACTGATCAGCAATTTATAACGAAGGAGCTTTTTTATTTCATATCCACACTTGCTATATGTACGAAATTACAGCAATATTTCGGTGTGATTTGTTCTTCTATTTTTTTCTTTTTTATTCCTTTTTTTTTTCCTTTTTTTTTTTTGGTGTATTTTCTTTTGTAATCTCTGGACAATGTTTTTCTCTACGAATATATTACTATTGCAACTTAGGTAATTAGAATATTTTTAAAGTTGTAATTATTTCACGTAATTCTATGGACGATAATTATTAACGAAATTATAAACATCTCTAAATTTATTCTAAATAGAAATGTTCCAGAGTGCGTCGTTTCTACTTTATTTTTCAATGACAACGGTCCACCATCGTCGCTTTGCATGTTAGATATATCCGATTTTTTTGGCGGTATGATCATGTTCTCATCGTGATCTTCGTTATCATCTATGTTATGATCACGATGAATATCTTTGCTCATGTTTTGAGAAATTGTGGTAGTAGTAGTAGTAGTGCTCGGTTCCGTTGTTGGTGGTGCGGTAGTTGTAGGAACTAAACTGTAATTTCCAAGGAAATAGATAGATCCAAATTCGGGTTTTACATCAAATATTGTTTGTTCGCTGCGAATACCGCTTATTACACGAGATTTGGTCTCTCCATCTTCGTAATGCGAAATTAAGGCTCCAGAATAGGGTACTTCCATATCGATACAATAACCTTTTAGAGTAACGTTTATTCCTGTACCGGGTTCGAGGATTATTTCCACCCTATTTTAAATAAATATTAATATATTAAATGAATATAATATAATATTATATTTATATAATGATAATAATTAGAAATATGTTCATGACATAAAGTATAATTTTTTAAATCAAATAAATTATTTAATATTATTTAAAAGCTGTTAATAATTAGTTGTATAAAAAATCTGTTATTTCTCATATACTCTTAATTGATTTATTTTAAATGATACAGAAAATACTCACGTATATGCATCAGTACGAGTACTAGTTTCCTTTGTACCCCACATTATTTGTGGCAAAGTCGTACCATTCATCAATATAATTGATGTATTTAGGCCTTTCAGAATGGCGTGACCTTGACCCCAGTACATAGAATAATTGTACGTATAAGTGAAAGCTTTCGCCATTTTTGCAGCTTCCGGTCCATTATTGACGATCGTCGCGTTATCAAATATACAGGGATTATTTGACATTTTGGTCACTCGTTTTTTAGGCCAACTTAATTTAACCATCGTCAGATTATAATAGATAGGTTCCGTTTCGACCAGAACATCACCACTCTTTGCGATTCCTTCTGTACCATCCTAATGGAAAAAAATATAATGCTTTTTTAATTATATTTTATTAAAAAAAAAATTTATATATAGTTCAATATTTTAATTTTTATTTTATACAATATTGAGATGCAATTCACGTTTTGAAATAATATTAACTTTCTAATTAAAATAACAAATTTCTTCTAATTTAAAATAAGTATCAATCAATTACGTAGCCGATAAATGATATCAGTTCATTTATCCGTTATTTACAATTAATTATTATATTAACAACTATATTTTCCTGCTCTACATCCTACATCAATCCTTTCCTATTTCACATTAAATAAATGTTTCAGTTTTAACATATTTATAAAACATATAATAAAAATATATACAAAACAACTTTTGAAACTGCTATTGCATCGAATATAAATCACTGCCACTCAAATTGCAAAGGGTTTTAATTCACCGCAAATCTTAAAACCCGGTGGCAATGCCCCGTTTTCATCCAATTCTCTGACTGAAAACCAACCCATAAACGCTTCTCAACCGCAACTACTTCACATCTGAAAAGGAACACCCTCCTCTCTTGTTTCTCGTTTCAATCCCCTCCACCACTCTCCATTAACAAATCTCGATTACGGGCATTGCAATTTCCATCATCCAAGCAAACATCCAAAAGAGGAGACTAACCCTCGCTAATCCTCAGTCTGTTTTTATTCCATGATATGAATGGCTTAAATCCCTCTACCACCTTACAAACGTGAAACGCAAGCATTGCAATCTCAACTACAAACATCCTTCTTCCTCAAGAAAAAGAGAAAGAGAAAGAGAGAGAGAGAGAACACCATGCTCCACGCTACATGAACCGCGTAGCAATTACTTACATCTTTCACGTAGCTGATACTCTCTAGAATGTTGTCGTTGGTGGCCAAGGTGCCGATATAATGGGTATATCTCGCCACCGATGTGTTCTTGGGGATTTCCGCTAGGTGTCGGGCGACGAACATCTTCTCCGTTGCTACAGCTCCCAACGGGGTGGGTTTGTATTTGTCCAAGTACTCCCAGTTGACGCGTGCTGCACTCTTCACGTTCTCGAGCAAGTCGTATTTATCGTACGATTGCACGGTACCGTGCATCGTCACGGTGCATCGTTGCTCGTTACCCCTTTGGGCACCAGCCACCCAGACAGTCGTGTGCAATACCCTGCATACGTACAGGGGTACTCTTTTTTCTGATTTGTCTGCTTGATTGTTGAACGAGTCGTCTGCGGAAAAAAAGAAAGAAAGAAAAAAAGAAAGAAAGAAAGAAAAGAAAAAAATAAATGTCGACGGATTTTTATCGGAAGAGACGAGAACGGTTGGATATTTTTATCCAGCCAAGGGGGGGGGGGGGATGAAGGAGATGAGAATTGTATATTGTCAAGATATTGTCAAGAGAGAATAATCCCGTCTGGGCCAGGTGTATAGGCGAGAAAAGTTAATTCATGGGCTCTTTTGAAGATGTTGCTTCGAGGCGATGCTTAGCGGCAATTAGTAAGAACGGGAAATTAACGCGAGCTTGTGCAACCGTGCAGGAGTGTTTCCGGATGTAAATGATATACCTTACCATTCACAAGTGGTCGGATACTTGCTTGATTTCGACTTAAGGATATATCTTAATTATGAGATTTTCATGAACGGTGATAAATATTTGTTTATAATAAAATATTATAGCTTTTAAACACAATTTCTTCGAATTTACATTTCTTTTAAATATTTCGAAAAGATTTTTTATTTTTTATTTTTTTTTTCAATTTTTACTATAAAATTTGAAGGATATTAGAAAAACAATGTTTAATTAAATAAATAAATAAATAATTAATTAAAGTTCTTAAGATTAATTCATTTATGATGATTATAATACAATATGTATAAAAAGCTAATTTATTTTAATGCATTTTATATTTCAATGCTTTTTCATAACAAAAATTAAGACTTTTTGACAAAGTTAACCATCGAAAAGATTATATTTCATCCTGTTTTCTCCTCTAATTCGACATACCTTCCACTTTTTCGATCTCGAAACCACCAATGACTATATCCTTGGAGCCATCATAATGGGTGCGGGGCAGCCAATTCAGGGTGGTCGAAGTGATCAATTGGTACTTTGACAGGATGTGCACGCTGTTGTCTGCATTCGTCAGCAATAGAAGAACACCGAATAGTCCTACAGCGAGGAAGACCCTTTGCCAAGACATCTGCAATTTTAACGTTTTAACGTCATTGTGAATGAAAAGAAAGAAAAAAAAAAAAAAGAGAGAGAAAAGAGGAAAAGAAAAGAAGTAAAAATGCCTGTGAAGAGAATAATTTTTTGTGCGAGCTATTCGCAAAATCCATATGTTCAAGAGGAAGTTCAAGAGTGTGTTCATATCTAATCCAGGAAAGGGTTGAACACGTGGTGAACGAAGGAGACGAGCTCTAATAAGATCGTTATTACGATACAGCAAGCTAATTTAGAGGTAATTTGAGATAATAAGGCTCAGCTTGCACCGTAGAAAAAAAAATATCGGCAAATTTAACATCGTGTGCGTTATTAGCTTTTTTATTAGCTGTGTATATTGTTAATGGATTGAAGCTTCATCATTTTCTTCGAGGATATTTTTAACATTGCGTGGAATTAATTTTTATTCGGGTAGTTTTAGAGATATGCAAAAGTAAAAATTATAACAATATTTAAAATGTTCTAAAAATAAGAATATTTTCTCTACTCTATTGATTTGTATAATTGATAATATTTCTGTCTTAGAGAGAAAATTAAGTAAGAGAATTTATTTAAGGGTAAAATTCTTTGAAGTTTGAGAATTGCTTTAATTTGTTCATTTTGAAAAATTTTTTTCAAAAAATCAATTATAGATAATATTTTTTTTTTTTACAAAAATAATACATTATCATTTGCCATATTTTAAGGCAATGTATATTTCTTCCTTTTTCTTATCATTATTTTTCTTTTTTAAACTGAACATAATTGTTTCCGACAAAGTGATCTATCATCATTTGCTTTTTTTTATATAATGCATGGTATTCTCAAAAATGAGCCAAGTTTCCAATTTTTAAATACAATGTTACGCAACGTTTCAACACGTTTTATAGCGACCTTAACTTTTGTAACAGTAATACCTTGCCTCTTTGCGATTATGTTTCTGCTTACAGAGCGTATCTTTAACACAGCTCGCGTATAACTGGATCTCCTACTTCGCCTCATGTGTTTTCGCTTCAGTTAATGGCAAGAAAACGAAACGAACACGCGAATATTTCTAGAGTGTCCTGTGATCGAGCCAAAATATTTTCTCATTGCCATATCGTATTCATGGTCAATTCTTTTTATTTTATCAATTTCCTGTTTTTGACTTCTTACATATTATTCATAGAGTATATTTCTTTGGAAGTTCTCAGAGTTTAAGAATTAAAACTTTATATAATTTTGTACAAAGTTAATAATATCGACAGAAATTCGAGAAAAATTCAAGAATTTACGATAAAATGTCTCGAATTCTCGAAAAGTAGAAACGATTTTAAATTCTTTGAGGAATTAAAAACATCAAACAATAGACTTTAAAAGGAAATCGAATATTTATAATAAAATTTTTAGTTGTAAAAAGATAGTAATACATACATAAATTCTTAAGAGATTCTTAGTTATTTAAATTTTTTAAATAAATTAAGAATATCCATAGAATTTAAAAAGGAAAAAGAAATTATAATTTTATAATAAAAATATTTAATTGTAAAAAAGTAGCGACAAATTAAAATTTATAGTATATTTTGCATATATATATTTTGTTGAAAAAATGAACCTTGAATATTTTTCTTCGGTCAGTGGAAATTTTACCTTCAAGCTACACTGCATGGAACGTGTTAATATATGATTTCCTGTATTTCTTAAGTTTCTTTTTATAAGGATATTTTATATTTAGCAATTTCTAGATAATATTATATAGTTAGACGATCCAAAGTTATTATTTTAATAATAGATAGATGTTGAAAAAGAAGAGATTTTTCTTGAAATCAGTCCATAATAATTTGGAGCAATTGATTTTTTATTTTTCGATAGACTCTATCTCACTATTTAAAACATCTCAGATTTAAAACATTTTCAACTTAATATTAAAATATTAAAATTTTAAAATCGATTGTCCGAATTTTTTGCGATTTTAAAATAATTTTGATCAATAATTTATTTTTTTCGAATAAATATAACAGAGAAAATTACTTTTTCTCGTTTTATAAAAGAAATTACAATTTTTGTCTGTCAAAATTTTTTATAAACTTAATCGGTCATGCTCGTCTACGCATTCGCAGTTAATGATGTAACGGAAGTCGCAGCTTTAACCATCATTAACGGAGATTCATAAAATAATATAATATCGAGTTGGAAAAAAAAAAAAAAAAAGAAAGGTTCGGTCGTAAAAATGTTAGTCTGGAAGGAAGCATGAACGCACTAGTTTCCTTTCAAGGTGTACCTGGTATATATATATCTTCAATATACATAGAAGTTACTGTAACGGTTCCGTGGCATATCCGTTTACGTGATAATACACTTATTTTATAACGCTCGTGCCCCACTGCGTACAATTCTTTGCTTTTTCATTTTAGGATCTCGCTTGACTGACTTCTAAAGTTATCTATGAACATGGGCAAGAGAGTAAACTTAACTCAACTTTTATGCGATATCTAATAGTATTTTATTGCGACCGATTTAATATGAAATGGGAAAATTCTAACATGATTATGGGGGAAGTTTAGAGAAATTTTTATCTTTTAAAGGATTTAATTAAATGTTTGATGAATAAATTGGAAGAAATTAATTTCTTTGAAAACTATTTCTTTGAGTTATTCGTCTTGGGTTATTGATCTGTTGATCCGTGACTCATATTTTTGAGTCATAGAGAACAGTTAGGTTACGTTATTTAATTTTATTAATGAGTATAACTTTTTCCTATAAAATATACGTAGAATACATTATATTATATAAATATATTATTTTTATTAAATAATTATATTAAATTTTTAATTATAGATTAAAATAAAATAAATTCGAAATTATTTTGATTTGATACTAATAATAATTAGTAGTGGATTAAAGAAATAAGAGAATTTTAAATATTTTTTTCAAACGATTTATATTCTTTAGACAAAAAAAAAAAATAAATAAGCAAGTATATATTTGAAAGACTTGGTCGATTTTTGGGATAATTCCAAATTGTAAGGAGGGCTGTTCCATAATCTAGTTTGGCGAGTAAAATAGATTAGGGTTCACAAAGAGAGGTGGATGCTCTTTGTTCCATTGCGTAAAAAGCTGAACAAAAGCGTGACGTTGTAGCTAGAGGGAACAAAAGAGCATCTGTGTTTTTCATTCCAAGTGATCCTGAATCGCGACCGGGATCAATTTCATTTAAGAAATGATGCAATTTTATGCGGCAAAGTGCTCCGCGTTTAAACACTCAATTTAAAGATCTTGCATTCACTTTGAAATAAAAAATTCAAATCGAATCTTTTGTTTTAAACGAATATTTCGAAACATTCGTTTTGAATTACAATTCGTTCAATTAATTACAAATTCGGCCCATTTAGAAAAAAATTTATACATATAATACTATATATTATGTTAAAAAGAGAAAAATTGTATTTTTCAAAATACGATATTATATCTCCATTTATATGAAGTTTATCTTATAGAAAGTTATAAGATAGTTATAACTGTATTTTTTTATAAAAATTATTGAAATTTATCCAATAATTTGTCCTGTCAGTTTCGAAAAAATTAATTTATTTGAGCAAACTATGATTACATAAATTAATTTCAAAGATGGAAATTTCCAAATACACTATCCGATAATTAAATTCTATTCCCATGATCCCTGAAATTTCATTAATTCTTTTAAATTGATCCTAGACACGTGATCCTTCGATTCATTTAATTATAAGATTTATAGATTAAAGATATATATATATATCTTTCACAAAACCTTATTTACAACTCTATCTTACTTTTCTCATTATTGATATTTTAATTATATGAAATCTCATATATCATATGAGATATCTCGTATATCTCATAACATCGACATATATCGATAGTTACAATTTTACTCCACGCTACTTGATAGATTAAAAATCGTGTGATACTGTTCTGTCCTGTTTAAAATATTCTATCTAACATTTCCCAAAATATGTTGCAACGTTTGGAGTTTCATCTTTTTACCTTTTCAAGCAAAGTTAGAAAGTTTGAAACGAAGTTTGTAAAGGAACGGCACAAAGAAAATGATAAAAGACCTATCGACTACTAAAGATGGCAGTATTTTATTTCGTATTTGTATTGATGAGCGAGATCGTAGGTAGGTAGCGTGGAATACCCTTGTGTTTACTCATAGTTTAACAAAACGTTTCCGTTCTGCCCCACGGATTCCCGCGGATGCATCGGTATTGTTGCTGCTTTCGATCGAACGATCGAAAAAGGGCTCTGACCTGGTGGAGATATCGCGTATTGTGCGTTCCTACGTGGAACGGCTAGACTCAGTGATGGTCGGTCGAGCATGTTGAACGATCAAGCAATAAAATTCCCCACCTTGCTCTCCCCAAATCGAAATGAGAATACCTATGGGCTCAAAAGAAATCGTTTTTCAAAAGAATTCATTTTTATAAATTGATCGTATTGAATTGTGATCGTTCAATCGATATTTCCTGTTTTTCCCTCCCCCAATTTTTCTGCAATCTGTCTGTTTGCAATGAGTTTTTATCAAGAAGTAATAATTTTTTTCTTTTTATTTTCAGTATTTTAATTGCTATTCAATAATTTATAAAAAAGATTGTTGGGTTTCCCTAATTAATATCAGAAATGTTGGTTTTTATTTTATTTTCTGATTATTTATATTTATACGGAAGTAATTCGATAATATTGTATTAAATTATGATTTTTTTTTTTTAAGTAATCTATTGTATATATTTATAATTCAAAAATATTCAATATTATAGCGATTCTTTCATGTTATTAACATGCTTTAATTAATGCATGCTTTCATTTTATTTCGTTATTTTATAAATTTAAAAGTTTGATTATCTATTTTTCTTTCTTTCTTTTCTTTTTAATTTGTTTTAATAATTTTTAAAAATGTATAATCTCATTAATCTTAATTCGAATTCTTAGATTTCGATACATTATGGATCAGCTGTGAGAATTTCCCGTCGTTCTATTTCCAGT